ACAGCAGCGCGGCGGGCCGGCGAGCTGCAGGCGGGCAGGCTGCAGGCAGCGTGCAACTAGACAAACCTCCGCTTGGCGGCGTGGCGGCGCCACCCCCAGCAGCGCCAGCCAGAGCCCCATGTGGGGCAGGGGAGGCACAAGCCCTTGGGGGGCTTCCCTGGGGCCGCGCCGCCTGCGAGACCGTGCGAGCCCCCGCCCCCTTCACACACACACACACACACACACACTCGCCGGCACACGCTGCTGACCCGACAGCACCCTACGACCTACACCCCGGCCCGCTAAATGTGCAGCGGAAGCCCACGGGGCCCTCGGAGGGGAGGGGGGGGGGGGGGGGAGGGGACGGCGCGCCGCTCCTAGGAAAGCCTAGGAAAACCGAGGAAAAAGAAACCCTGGAGCAAAACACACATTTGCACACAATTGCAAAAAAAATAACTTTGTAAAATGTGATAAATTTAGCAGTAGTTTTCTTTTTTTCTCAATCATGTTGAGCTTTCGCCGCGTCGAAGGGCCGGGCTATTGGCCGCGCCGGTGTGAGGGGTGGGAATCCCGTCCGACTGACATTTCATCAACCCCAACCTTTCCCACCCAGTGGCCCGGACGGGCCCAGGGGGCATCTAGGCCTGATCAAGGCGCATCCAGGGGCCCGTGGACGCCCTCGGCGCAGCCCTCAGCCCAGCCCGCTAGTGCACTGGCAAGCTCGCCAGTCGATGGCAGTCCGACCACTTTGCAATGGTCGCGGCGAGTCAAGGCGACAACACTAGTGTACTAGTTACTCAGTGCACCACGCACAGCGAGCCACACACCCAGCCACACCCCGGAAGAGCCAGCTCTGTCGCACCCGTGGGGCCTCCCGCAGCGGTGCGAGAGAGACAGAGCGATGGCCTGCAGCGAAAGTCCTCCGAGTTGAGTGTCCTTCCATGCATCCTTTGAGAGCTCCATACCGCACTCCTACACTGGGCAAGGGGCCAAGCCCCTCCCACCGCACCGCCATCCCTGACCCGCCCCACTGCGTCACGTCACGTCACTTGGCGTCACGTAACCGCCGTCACACGTGACAGAGTAACGCTACCCACCTAATAATGGCACAGCAGCACAGCATGGGCAGGTGGGTAGTACACTGGGCGGCGTCGAGGGACCAACTGGCGAACGAAAGCCTTATCACTTGGGATGCAGCAAGGACCAACGAGCCAAGCAACCAACACGCAGCGCGTGACACACTGAAAAAAAAAAAGGTCTGCCTCGCATGGAGCAATGCTCTTGATCGCGTACCATCAATGCGACGCTGCTCTCGTATATTTTTTTCCAGTGCAGGTTGCTGAGGAGTGCAAGGCCGACGACCAAAAGGAGAACGCCCACATTTTCGGGATTTCTCTCGCCAAGCTTCGACTTTGATTGAACGACGATCGTTCACCCATCCAACCGATCATTTATACACAAATTTGCTCGTTCATTAATCCAACAGTTCATAGTCGGCTCATTCATTCAATCATTCATCCAATCATTCATCCAATCATTCATCCAATCATTCATTCATTCATTCATTCATTCATTCATTCATTCGAACGAGAGCGAGGGAAGGCCGTCCACCGGAAGCGCACCGCCTCCGAGGCAGTCCATTTAGCCTCCGTTGGAGTAGACCCAATAAAACCGCCCAGCCGATGTATACGGCAGTCAGAGAGACTAGGCCTCACAAAAGTAGAGCAGGTTCGCAAATCCCTCACGTGCGCGACGCGTCACCCGACTTTTTCGACAGTTTTTGTTCAGCGCCCAACGCCTTGAGCCAAACCATCTCACAGTTGGACTCGAACCGAACGTGTGACCCCACCAATGGATTCCTCGTTCGGAGAGGAATCCATTGGTGGGGTCACACGTTCGGTTCGAGTCCCATTCAGCGACTCTGGAGCTCAAAACGCGTCGAGAGTTTTGGCCGCCTCCACCGGTCTTCTGGCCCACTGTGCCGCACTGTGCTTGCTTTCGTCGCTCCGTCCGGTCCCTCTCGCGCTCACGGGGCGGCCCGCAGGCCGCAGGGGTGCGACAGAGAGAGACAGCGAGTGGGACGTCGCGCTCGACCTTGCGTTCATCACGGCTGCGACGCGACCAACGGCATAGTACGGCAGTACCAAACTCGTGACGCCGTCCCGTGTCTAGCAGTCCACATTATGCCACGCCACGCCGCGCCACGCCACGCAGCGGCAGGTGACGGGCGGGCAAGGCAGAGCGACGTGGGCGCAGCGCGGCGCCACTCCACCAGCTGATGAAGCCAGCGAGCCAAACAGACAACCTATTCCCGAACATGACTCAAAGCTAGCGGAGCGAGCCAGGCCGATGCGACGCGGACCCCTCCACATTCGTAGCAGGCCCGCCACCTCAGACTTTCTCAAAAGACCCCTTCGGTAATTTCATTTTTTTCCCCGATCGTCTTCAAAACTTCATTCTGATCAACTTGAGTGACCATTCATGCATGGTCACTGAAGCCGATGCACAGACTCTTCGGCGCAAAGCCCCGGCGTTTCCCCTTTTTCAGTGTTGTTGTTTTTTTGTCGGTTCTGGCGATTGATAGGGCCCGGGGGGGCTGTGGCCGGCCTGCAGTGTGGTGGCCGAGGCCGTGGCGGTCGCCACAGAAATAGCCGCCCCGCCCGCCGCCCCGCCCTGCCTCGCCTGCCACGGGGCCCACGGGGCGCCGCCACGCGACTCCGCGACCACGCCCTTCGAGGCCCTGCCGGGTCCTTCCTGACCTACACACGCACCGTGACACGCACCGTGACACGCACGCACACGGCCGCAAATGTGGGCCGCGTCACGGTCGGGTCGCGCTGTTCTGTTGCAACAGCGCGACTGTTTTCCGACAAAACGATGTCCCGGCGGCAGGGCGGCAGTCCGGCGGCAGTGCCACCTCGCCGGGCACTTAGTCCACTTAGCGCCCCGAGTCGCTGTCGTCGCCCTGTCTCTCTCGCACCCACACGGCGCGCCCCGTGAGTGCGACAGAGACAGTCAGTCTTCTGGCCGCTCACGCCCCGCTAACAGTTCCCCGGTGGACAGCCGGCGAAGAGCGGCAAAGCTGAGCGCGCCACGCGCGGGCCCGGGTTCGAACACCGACAAAAGCGGTTCCCGTTTTCGTCTTTTTGGCGAGGTCTTCCTCGAGGCTCATCCTCGTCGATGCGATGAGCCGCCGCCGTCGCGCTAATGTGGATTACGTAACGGGGAAGGGGCGGCCAAGGCGAAGGTCAGGGGCGGCCAGGGCGCCAACAAAGGCCCGTCGCACAGTGGGCCAGAGCTCCAGAGTCGCTAAACGGGACTCGAACCGAACGTGTGACCCCACCAATGGATCACACGTTCGGTTCGAGTCCCATTTGGCGACTCTGGAGCTCAAAACGCGTCTAGGGTTGTGGCCGCCTCCACCGGCCTTCTGGCCCACTGTGCAGCGGGACAGAGCGAGACTTATGCCCTGCCGACTGCCCGGGGGCGGAAGGGAAGGCAAAGGGAGGCCAGGCTCGCTGCTGCCGCACGGTTTATGCTCCATTAAATTTGTTTATTGAATGATACGCCCAACAACCCACTCAGTGTGTCGTCCAGTCGCCGAGTGCAGCTCGGTTGCCAGCCCCGCCAGCCCCGCCAGCCCCGCCAGCAGTGCGATGACTGCCTCCTGGCCGACGCAGACATCAGCGGATCCAGATACGAACCTCATGATTCAGTTCCCTCTTCATTGCAGACTCACACTCCTTGTCACTGGATAAGAGTCACATGGGGGAATAGAAGCAAGTGTGTTTCGTAGAGTTTTCATGGAGCAACAATAATGACATTGCCTACAGCAAAGAAAGTACACGTTGACTCAGAAAGACAGCTGTGACAAGTGTCCTGCCAAGTAATCCAGGGAGTCCAACCCAATTCCTCAATTAAAAGTTTCCCACTCAATTATAGTTTTTGATCAATTAAGGGAGCCATGGTAAAAAACATTTGGTAATTTCGCAGTAAAACTGCATCACATTTCTCTCTTGAAAATGCAGAGAAACACACTTCTCCAGTAATGACACTTGGCAATCAAGAGCACAGCCTGAAGAATGTGCTTAATGGGCTACTGGATTTCTGGAACACTCTCTTGCATAAAATCCAAGCATAAAATGGGCCCAAGGGGTGGCTACAGAACGGCAAGGCAAGGTGGGGCAACTTGTATGGCTGCCACACCACCACGTCTCTCCTGCCCTCTGAAAACATACAAGTACATCATGCCCACATTGCTCTGCAACAACTAGACTTTGCAGATGTATGTTAATCAAAGTACAAATGTGTGAAATAGCATTGATAATACACATGTAATGCGAGATCATATCATCTTTGTTTCATTGAGATGAAAATAAATTTAGTTTCGGCATACCCACTCAGCAGTGACATAAATTCCAGAAATTTTGGGAGCATTTTTTTTTTTTTTTTTGTAGAGGTTGTAGAGTAAACTTCAGTGCTTGAAGCTCCTGTCAACACCCATGTCTTCAATATGCAACAGGATTATACGCAAGACATATCACCCAGATACCGTTATTTGAACGTCGAAATAACTATGGGAAATCTTAACCAAAATTGAATGAAATGGAACTCATATGATGAGGATTTGAGAAACTGTGAAAAATATAACCTGTCAATTTCGAACTAAATTTTAGTACGGCAAGACCCCTGCCGGTTCGGCACTTTGACACAGTCAATGGGATGGGAGAGCACGGGGCGCAAACGCCCCAACAATGTCCGACACCCAAAAGACGAATCCACTGCAAAATTCAACCCGTTCAAATTCGGCATCGGTCGCTTCCTAACCTTACCTGTTGGATGTAAGGCCAATTTTCGAAGCGACCGGAGCTCACGGCGGCGAAAGGCTGGCGTCAAAAAGACAAGAGGCGCGCGCCGAGCCTCGCAGATAAAACTTGCACCGCAGTGAGACTTTGCTATCGCATTCCAACGCCTAGACGGCCAAGTAGGCCTCGGGGGCAACTAGCGAAGAAGCGGCCTACCTTTGGGAGGATTGCCTGCAATCCGACTCCTGCACTTGTCAAAACTCCAAGAGGACTCCGAGAGGATCGTCCCGGGGTGAACGCGGCCGCTAGACACAACAGCCTCCGCGGTGGGTTCGCAACGCGTCCCAAACGGTCTCCTCGGCGGCACCAGAGAGTCACAAACGTTCACAACATTGCAAAAACAGTCGCGCACTCGAGAAAATCAAAGGGAACGTCCCGTGGCCGTGCCATTCGTGCCAAGGGGGCTCGGCTCACTGACACTGACACGACTCGATCCGAACGCCCTCTAGCGGCCGACCTTCCAACTCCAGCCGAGGCGCAAATTCCTGTTCGTGCACCGGTTCCTTGAAGTATGAGAAGCTTGGCACTCAAAACATTTTCCAAGTTTTGATTTTTCATCGAACGCAAACGACAACAAAGCGAACAAAAACACTTTCTGCGCGCTGCGCACTCTGTGAAAACGTCAAGTGTCAAACGCAGTGGCATCTCTGGTCATTCCATTAGCGACTCCAGCGAGGCGAGAAGCGGAAGTCGCCTCAGCGTTGCTGTCACTTTCATTGACAAACGTAGCTGCACTCCTCTCCAGGTGCGTTCCATGCAATCATTCTAACTCATTCATACTTCCAGCATGTTTCCACCTTGGCGGGCAAATCCGACTTCAGAATCTGGATTTGAAAGTGTCATTTGAGTGTGTTCATCGTCTTTTTTCTATGTGACCTGTCAATTTATGTGAAACGTGTCCTTTTCAGAAGTTACCTTCGGAAGCTGTGGCCATGGACCGCCTGTCTCCTTGCTGTGCTTCCCTTTGCTCATCAGACAGAGACAAGCCAGATAAGCGGTGAGTACAGGGAAAGACACCCAGGACTGTCTTATTCCATCATTGCAATGAAATCTGAGCCTGTTGCTTTTGTCCTAGTTTATACCCTTCGATTGCTGACTCTGGCCTTTTTGCAGTGACTTGACGGTGATCCTACCCGATGATGTGGTGGCTACAATTTTCTCCTTTCTGCACCCAACTGATCTCGTCTCATATGTTCCTCTTGTTTGCAAGAGATGGTATCAACTATCGAAACATCCTGATGCCTGGCGCTATGCTGATTTAACAATTGTACCCAGTAGACTAATGGAAAAAGCGTCTGAAATTTCAAAGTCTACATGGAACCTCGGCAATCATCTTGTGAATATGACCAAAGCGGCTCCATACCTGCGCACAGTTGACCTGAGTATGGTTGATTCAATCTATCCCTGTGCAGAAAATGTTGTCAAGGTTCTGCTAGAAGGCAATACAATTGTCAAAAACTTCTATACTTTTCCCAAGTGCACTAAAAAGATGCAACCCTACACAATGAAATTGCTTCAAAAGCTTTCTCCTTCATTGCGCTCAATCAAATTTTCTTGTGGTGGTGGAGATTCCAAGAAAGCAGCAACTTTCTTTGAGGGTGTAAATGAATTGCTTCAAATAATATCTGAAGCTCCAAAGCTTAATTACCTTACCCTTGATTTTCGTAATCTAAGGAGTTTTCAAGGATATGCAGGTCAACTTGGGCAAGGCTGTTCTGCACTGAGAAAGTTTGAATTGATGAACCATCAGCCTTGTCAAGATCATATTATCCTGGATGTTCTGAGAAACAAAAAAGATCAACTTGTACAAGTTGGATTTGATTCAGATATCAGCCAAGATGTAGCTGATGCTCTAAAGGAATGCCATGGCCTTTTAAAATGTCGCTTACTTCAAAAAAATATTTCTCTTGTTGAGAGTATGAGCCAGCTGGATGCACTTGAAGTCAGCTTCATTGAAGTTCGTACTCCACGTGACATTCCAGTTGATTGCATTAAGTCCTCCAATATTTTGCCCCACATTTCAAAACTAACTTTGAAGGGTAGCTCGGCTAGTGGGTTCAATTCTACTTTAATGTCAGAAGTGTCTACTAATACTGTTGATGTATTAGCTCAAAAATGCAAAAATGTTGTTGTTTTTAAATTGGTTGACATTAATCTACCTGACCATCTTCTGAATTCGCTTATGACCAACTTCCCAAATTTGCAGGAAATATTAGTTGACTCTTGCGAAGGCATAACAGCTCAACACATAAAAAAGTTATCTGAGCTGCCTTCTGTGCGGGTGGTTACCATGTGTGATATCATTGTTAAAAGTAAAGAGGCTATTTTAGAATTAAAGACAGCTTTTGAAGCATTGAGACTTGCAAAACCCTATGCTGTTCTTTCTCTTAGTTACGAAATGTCTCCATTTGATATACTGGATGATGATTCTGATACAGATGGTGAAGATCGTGAGTATGATGAATTTGGTGACCCTGTATTTACTTACTATGATTATTTGCGCAACAGATATGGAGATGACATTAGTGATATGGATTTGTGGGCTCTAGCCTCTTCTGATGAAGATTGAGAATCGAAAATAGATCAGGATCAGTGCACATTAAAGAACTCATTTTTTTCCTAGACGTGTTTATCTATGTATGTAGAGGGAGAGGGAGAGAGAGAAATTTGTTTTATGGCCTTTTGGCTTTGCCCATAGTAGCCATTTATCTATGTAAATACATATCTTCTTGCCTTTGAAAAAAGAAATGCATGAATCCTTTCGTTTAAATTGATATTTTAAAATCTAAAATAGATCAGGATCAGTGTACATCCATTAGTTGTCTATAAATCATCTAAGAACTAATTTTTCCTAGACCTGGTGTTTATCTATGTACATATTTATCTTGTTGCCTTTAAAAATAAAAATGCATGAATCCTTTTGTTTCAATTGATATTTTTATGGTTCCTCCCCTCAAACGGAACACTTGAGCGTCTCGTTTGAAGGACTGGCGCGAAAACAAGCGACAGCTGTGGGCAAAAAGAATACAAAAAGAAGAAAGTTGAAAAAAACCTCTGCTGTGTTAGAGTGCAGTGAACATGGCTGATGCCTATCGGTATCGGTTTTAATCATGTTTTGGTTATGACTCTGTTCGTTCTTATATCTCTCTCATTGTATAGCGAAAAGAGGTGCAAATGAGTTCCCTTATCACTGTGATTGGGAGCTAAGACCTGGCTTGGTTGTTTTATATGTGTCCGGAAGAATTTCACAGACGTCCATTTGGGCTTCAAGCTCCTCTTGTTTTCGGTATTGCTGTCGGTGAAACATAACCTCAATGGCGAAGGTAAGTTTGTGTATTGTTGATATTACTGGAGCTTGGAAACGCCGTTCTCTTACTTCTAAATCGATTTGGTTAAATTTCTGAAAAATATGGAATGTATTTTATCTGTCATTGCAGCGAAATCGGTTCTCTTGTGGTTCATTTGGAACTCTAAATTTAGACTGTATGAATTTTATATGTATTGTTTTGAATTAAAACTCAAGATATTCTTCTTATAACAGCTTTTTAAATCACGCTTTTTCTCAGGCAATTAATTGCTGTTTAAGTAACTATTTCATTAATCTTACTGCATATTCAAGACTATACATTCAAATTTTACTCACCCTTTTTCCCAGTACATGTTCAATATTGGTTCTTGCCCTCCCCCTTAATGTTAAAACGAATCCTTTGGGTAGCTGCACTTCTGATGTGGGTTCTCCTTAACCTGAATCGTTGTCTTCACAGCACATTGCGGAGCAGAAGCTGAAGGCCTTCTCCATTGGCTCCATGGGGAAAAGGCCTATGTCTAAGAAGGAACAAGAAGAGCAAAGAAAGAAAGAACAGGAAGAAGCTGCAGCACAGGTAAGGTTTTTTTTTTTTTTTTAAAATTATGTGTGTAGCTTTATCATATTTATCACATTTGATCATCCCAATGTCACTTGATTGGTTCTAGGCATTTCAAGAATTTGTGGCCACATTTAACGATGCCCCAAGCAATAAATCTAGTGGCAAAGTTTGGGTTAAAGCAGGAACATATGATGCAGGGAAACGGCGTAAGTCACATTTCTGTGTGTTTGTTGTGTGCTACCCAAATATAGTAGATAAATGGGCACTGTTGCTAATGTTGTTGTTGTTGTCTGCAGAGGAAGATACCAAGGAGAAAGGTAAACTGTACAAGCCCACCTCCAGATTAGAGGAGAAGTCATCTTCTGCTGATCAGGCACAAGAATATGCTCGTCTCTTGGGAGACCGGAGCAAACCTGAAAGGCCTGGGAAAAAGAAAGAACGTGAAAAAAGGAAAAGCAACCTGGAGCTTTTCAAAGAAGAATTGAAAGTGTTAGTACTAGCCTCTTGGCTTTTAACGTTCTATATGAATGTCATTGTTGCTACATTTGCAAACTTACTGCATTTTACATGAATGTATGCATTCTAGAATCCAAGAGGAGCGAGAAGAGAGGCACAAATATAAGGGCATTGTGAAATCAACTGTTGGGAGCATTTATGAAACCGAGGACTCAAGTAACAAAAGCAAGTAGAATCTACCATGTGCTTTATTTTAGTTTTTTAATACCTTTTAATTTTACCATAACTTGATATTTTCTGTCTAGTTGGATCATTTGATAATGGAGATCCCACAACAACAAACCTGTACTTGGGAAATTTAAATCCAAAAGTGAGTATGAGTAATGGACTACAAGATCTGTTGTTTATGTTAAAAATGAAAGCTCCTGTCACCTTCATTGCTTGTCTTGTTTTGTGTTCTCTTTCTATCAGATTACTGAACAGCAACTAATGCAAGTTTTTGGAAAATATGGTCCCTTAGCAAGTATTAAAATAATGTGGCCTAGGTCAGATGAAGAAAAGGCTAGAGGTCGCAATTGTGGGTTTGTAGCCTTCATGAACAGGAAAGATGGAGAAAGGGCTCTGAAACACATAAATGGTATGAATTGTGTCATTGTTGTCGTCTTCATCAGAAACATGTCCCCTTTCATTATTGATGACAACCCTGTTTTTGTTTCGTAGGCAAAGATGTGATGCAGTATGAAATGAAGCTGGGCTGGGGGAAGGGTGTACCGATCCCCGCTCATCCTATTTACATACCCCCTGCCATGCTGCAGCTTACTTTACCGCCTCCCCATTCAGGGCTTCCCTTCAACGCCCAACCTAGTCGGCGGGACAGGGACAAAGTTCCAAAACTTAAACCCAGTGACCCCTACCCAACAGACCCAGAGCAGAAAGCTGTGCTGGATAAAATTCTATATAATGCTGTTGTGAAAGTTGTAATACCTACCGAAAGGAACATACTCATGCTCATTCATCGCATGATTGAATTCGTCATTAGAGAAGGCCCTATGTTTGAGGCTATGATAATGAATCGGGAGATAAATAATCCCATGTTTAGATTCCTATTTGAGAATCAAAACCCGATGCACATATATTATCGGTGGAAGTTATTCTCCCTTCTTCAGGGTGACCTTCAAGCTAAATGGCGAACAGAAGAGTTTCGTATGTTTAAAGGAGGATCCGTTTGGAAACCACCTCCAATGAACCCGTATACTCAAGGAATGCCGGAAGAGTTAGTTGAATATGATGAAGTTGATTCTCGCAAGGGTTCACTGTCACTCTCTCAACGAGAAAGGCTAGAAGAACTATTAAGGAATATTTCGCCAGAGAGAATCAAAGTTGCTGAAGCCATGGTTTTCTGCATAGAGCACAGTGACTCTGCTGAGGAAATTTGCGACTGCATTCAAGAATCTTTGTCTAATTCAACAACACTTATGGCCAAAAAAATTGCCAGATTTTATCTCATCTCAGATATTCTTCACAACTGTGGAGTCAGTGTGAATAACGCTTCATACTATAGAAAGGCCTTTGAAAGCCGTTTAATGCCCATCATGGTGGAAATGCATGCTGCATACACCAAGCAAGAAAGCAGGTTAAAGGCTGAAGGCTTCCGCATGCGAGTACTGACTGTTTTCAAAGCATGGCAAGAGTGGGCAGTCTATCCTCGCAGTTATCTGATTGCTTTGCAAAACACATTTTTAGGACTGAGTTGTGACACTGCTCGGATAAGTGATCCAGAAAGTGATGATAATGTGGAGCCAGATCCAGACATTGATGGAGCACCTTTATCCCCTATGGGGCGTCTGAACCGAATGGATGATATTGATGGAGTTCCCCTTCTGAAAGGTGCTCTGAAAGGCATTGGAGAATACAGCGATGATATTGATGGTATTCCTATGGATGATGATATTGATGGTGTCCCTCTGGATGAAGACAGAAGACCTAGTGGCAAGAAAGGGATGCCTGCAGGATTTGTTCCATCCCGTTGGGAAACTGTTGATCCGGAGCAAGTTGAAGCTCAAGCAATGACGACAAGCAAGTGGGACCAGTTGGAAAATCAAGGTAAGTGATAGACAAGCCAGATGAAAGTCCTTTTAATCTATTTAAGAAAACCCTTAATGCTGAAACTGCATTTTCATTTCCAGATGGATATGATTTTGATGATGACGACAGTGTTAGCAATGAAGACAATTCATTAGACAGCAATCCTATGCACTCAAGGTAAGTTTGGGTCCTGTTTTGTTAGAATTACTAATATAATTGTTTCTAGTCAATAAGGCTCAAAAAAATTATGAATAATTTTTGTTTTGTTTAGTTCTAGAGATGAAGGGAAACGTGCTCGCTTACGGGATATTGAGGTCAAAGCCATGCAATACCAGGATGAGCTTGAGTCGGGGCAGAGAGCTCTTAAGTCAGGTTGGAATATTTCTCAGCAAGTAGAACACTACCGAAGAAAGCTGTTGCGCAAGGTACAATTGAAGACTCTATAAATTACTCACTTGTAAACTTAAGCATTTCCTGTCTTTATTGAAACAATACTGGTAATTATCCTATCAGGCTGAGCGGGAAGCTCAAATTGCCCGAGAGGAAAAGCTGGACAAGAAAGATAAGAAACGAGACAAAAAAGACCGATCAGATAGAAGTAGGAGGAGTCTATCTCCAGAGGATGATGCCCATTACCGAGACAGCTCGTGAGTTATGCTCTTTATTCAGATTTTGTATACCTTCACCTTCTTGTAATCACCAATGTAAACCAACTTTCTTATTTTTAAGGGTTGGTTCGCGATCAAGATCTAAACGTTCCAGAAGTTGGTCTGGTAGCCCAGGTCCCTCCAAGCGCTCACACCGGTAAGTTATGACTTGTTTCTGCTTTAGTGCATGACTTGCTATGCATCCCTTTTATGCTCACAGGATTGGCTTTTAAATTTCATTTTGTGTTCTTACAGGTCCAGAAGTAGGAGCCCGCTTAGCTCAAGAAGCAAAAGACGCTCCAGCAGATCTCCCTATACATCAGGAAGCAAACGTCGAGGTGGCTCGCCACTCTCACCCAGTCCTACCAGGCTCAAGCGAAGAGGTTCCCCTTCACCACAGCGCTCAAAACATAGAGGATTATCACCACAGTCACCGCGCAATTCCAGGCGCAGAAATTCTGTCTCTCCTTCACCACCACCTCGCAGCAAACACCATGCATTATCTCCAAGCCCACCACCTCGGAAGCACAAACATAAGCATAAGTACTGATATGTATTTTAAGAATGTTTTGTTTATTTTGTGTTGTTGCAGAAAAGAAAAAATTGTTCATATTACTCAAGAAGGGCATTTTACTTTAAAATGCATTGTGTACCTTCAATTAAACTTGTCAAGTTGCTTGTATATAATTTTATTTAGACTGATGTCATTTTGAAAGGCTTTATCAGGACTGCACAATTTAAGAGCTTTGACATCAATGGCAATATTATAAATTCAGAATTTTTACAGTAGTTCTTTAAGTAGTATAAATCACTGTAAATGTGCCCTTTCTGAAATCTGTGATATTCATGTGGAAGTGCTGCAGCTTTCACAATTTTGAAATCTGAAAGCCGTTAGTTCTGTCTCTTTTTACTTCTTGCCCTTCTGGTATTACATTGACACTTTGATGTTCATATGAGTCATGGTCATGTATCACTAATACAGAAGTGGATATGTGTAGTGCTCTTCAGGTTTTATGTAAGTTTTTTTGGAAAATAATTAATTTTGAGTTGTGTTGTTGTTTATAAGAAATTCACTGGAAGACTCTACCAAGTATAGGGTTTGGATGACTGTTAAATGGCTCATTGTAAATTTGAGTTCCTCTTTAAACACCAGAATCTTGTTAAGTAGACATTGATGTGTTTGTTTTATGTGGGCTGCTATGAACTGATTTGTATTCGCTAGACTAATTATTTTGTATACAGAATCTTGATGCGCTGCTGATGTGTAGGTTCCTCCTATTGTAACCTATTATTCTTAGACAGAGCATCTCTAAATTATTAATAGATCTTTGTTCACCGTTTCTGAATTTAGAATGCAAATTAAGGACTCAACAAATTTGAAAATACTTTTTGTTTGGCAGAATAATTGTGGAAAACAAGCTTTCTTTTTTCCACCATTTTCCTTATTTTCACATTTTTGTTTTATAATTTTTATGAAATGAGCTTTCATATCATTTGTTATGTCCAGTTCAGCTTGATCAATTCAGGGTACAAAATGTCCCAAAGTTTATTACTGTGTGTTCGGCAGTATATGTACCCGGCTCCAGTCATTGTGCTACTCTGAAGTTGGGACTTTTAAATACTGATGTTAAACAGGTGTGATTGTAATAACTGCGTTTCCTGCGTCTCAAATGCACGCAATAAAGCAATGCATTATCTTTTTGATTTGGTGTTTCAATATTCACCGTGCCCGCGGTCATTCCCTCTGCCTGCTCCCACACATGGGGAGGCAGTGCCGACGCCCCGTGAGTGCGACAGAGACAGACAGAGGCACGGCGATGAAACGACCCTTGGGTGCGTCCGCCGCTGGGAGTCGGATGGGAATGGGAATAATGGGAGTGAGGGGTGCTTATTGTTGTCGTAGTCGCGATGTTGGCGGCGAGGCGACCGCGGCGACGGGGCTTGATAATAATGCAGGCTGGCGCGCTGCCGCCCTGGCCATGCTGGCAGCCAGCAGGGCCAGCCCGCACCGCCATGCGTTGACGGCTGACGCGGGGCAAAGGCAAGCAGACAGCAAAGGGTCGTCCAGTCGGCCGTCCCTCCGTCCCGTCGCAGTGTAGTGGCGGTGGCGGCGCAGTCGGGGAGAGAAATCAAAACCGGCAAGGTGACAGCGACAGTCGTCCCGCCCCGTCCCGTCCGGCACGCTCATTCCGAGAGTCGTCCGTCGCTCTGTCTCTCTCGCACCTACGGGGCGCTCCGTGAGTGCGAGAGAGACAGAGCGGCGAAAGCGACTCTCGGACTCAGTCTGCAGACGGCATGCCGAGGCCAGGGCCAGCGCGGCAGGGGCGGCCTAGGCGGCCGTGGCTGTCCGAGGTGCTGGCGGTGCTGGACCTGGCGGAGCAGGCCGTGCGCGCGGCCAGCGGTGCCAGCCGCCACTCGGTGACTCCGCGCCCCAGTCGGGCGGCGTGACGAGGCGTGACGAGACGAGACGAACCTCGAGACCAACCAGACGGCGCCCCGCGACCGCCGCGACGAACCACCAACCGCCATCTCCGCCCTCGCCGCCCCCAGGCCGCCCCCGCCCCCGCCACGTGCAAGTGTTTGCACGTGCTTGCCGACGGCCAGAGGTACGGGAGTACACACGGGTCGCCGCGGAGCCTACGACAGTGTGAGTGTCTTCGCAGGGGATTCCTTTCATTGCAAATAGTTGACCGCCCACTCCTCCGCCGACCAAACTTTAAAAAAAAGGGACGCATAATGCAAGTGAAAGGGAGCCGATAAAAGGTGCAAGTGCTGACGTCTTAAGCTTTCTTTCGAATGTGGAGTTACCAGTGCCAGTGCATGTCGAGACAATTAGAGTGAACAGCGCGCCCGCTGAATCACTGAAATGGTGGCCGGACTGTTTGATGGCTCCGCGCTTTCTGCCGTCCCATCGTCTGAATGCCAATGCGGCCGATAACTTCGTGAGAAAATTTCCCATCAATGAGCAATGTTTTGCCTTGCCACGGGCCGCGGAGGGTTTTGAGGTAAATGAAGTTTTGGCGGCGGCGGGGCCGCGGGGCCGCAGGCTGTGTATGTACACGTGCATCGCGGAATCGCGGACCACGTGCTGCGATGCGAACCATCCCCGCGGCCGTGTGCGTTGTGCGCCTCTAGGCTCATTCAGAGAGTCGTTCTCTGTCTCTCTCGCACCTGCAGTAGATCCACCCCCGCCGCTGCATTAAGTCCACGCGCCCAGGGCTGCCAAATCCGGTCAGAGCCCTCATCAATTGGCATGTAAATCGCCGCGCCTTCCCTCCTCCAGACGTCACCGCGGCACCGCGGCCAGGCAACTGAGTGGCTTAGCGGCTGCAAGGGAAGGAAGGGACGAGTGCAAGTTTTGTCTGTTTGTATTGTGACCTCTCTGAGTGGCGTCAACGGCGCGGTGTCTCGAGGCCGCCCATTGGATCCCTATTGGGAATCGGCACCGCGCCGCGTAAGCAGGCCTACAGTGAATGAGTGACGCCGACCCTAACTGCCACACACACTGGCAGACGCACGAAGTTGACGTGGGTGCGGGGCATGCCCTGCCGGGGGCTTTCTTTTACCCTTCAGGCGGCCATGGGCTCGGCGGGGTCCGGGGCGCTGGCGCGCGCTGGCGTTTGGGAGGACTCTGTGGGCATGTTCCTAATGGAAGCCGGGGGAAGTCCCCGAGGCGACGACCCCTCCACCATAAGTGTGTGGACAGCCTGACAGCCATAGCGTGACTGCCCCACTACAGGCTCACCCTCTGTGGGGTGCCCCAAAAAGGGTGCCCAAAAAGAGTGCCCCAAAAAGGGTGCCCCAAAAGGGGTGGCCCAAAAAAGGGTGGCGCAAAAGGGTGGCCCAAAAAGGGTGGCCCAAAAAGGGTGCCCGAAAAGGGTGCTCCTTTAGGGGTGCGAAAGAGTGTGCCAGGTACTTTGAAAACAATTGCAACCCAAATCCGTGAAAGCACTTAAGCCCAAGTTAAAACCAATGGGTCTGCATGCAAATCGGGACCTTGTTCCCATCGCTCGTTGCACCGTGGGCAAGGCCGGGCGAGGACACCTCTAGCCATTTCGCTCGTCTGGAACGTCGCCGCGTCCTTTTCGTTTTCTTTTTTTTTTCGCGATTTTAAGGTCCTTAGTGCGCGTCTCTTCGGCGCCTCTCGCTTGCATAAGCACTGTCTTAGCAGCGTGTTCGGCCGGGACTGGGGAAGGACCAATTACACTGAATTGAACGAAATGAATTGGAAATCCAGCGAACGGCACGTGTCAACAATTGTGGGGCGTACGTACAGTGCAGGCGGTCCTCCCACAGCGCTCCGCGTGAGAGGCAGAGCATTGCGAAAATGCATTGCAAATGCGAAAATGGCATTGCAAGTGCGTGGATGCGCCCGAAATAACTTACCTTCACGCGGCGCTGCTGGTGTCCCTCGCGAAATGCCGCCCGGTCACTGTGGCATACTGCCTTGGGAAATTTTGGCGGCCCGGCCGCGACCGCCACGATTTCGGCCCGCATCACTCAAGAGCCGTGAAGCCTGGCTCGTGCGTGGCGTTGCATGCGTTGCATTCACGATGCGCTCTCCGAAAATTCAGAATCGTTGTTTTTCATTCCCAGGACCTGTCTGTCTTCGTTTTAAACCAGCCGTTTCTTTTTTTTTCATTCCACCTTTAAATTTGGAGGCGGGGAAAGAAACACAGACGGATGCTTCGTAAATCTATGCTTCGTTTCTAGAGCTGTCCGACGCGCCATTGTGTGTACAGCATCGGCGGAAATAAAACAGCAAAAAAGACAGCTACAAAAAAATAATCGCACTTGCTACTGGATTAGGATTGCCCGTTGCACTGTCCGAAATGTAAACAGTTTGGATAATTAAAACTTTTTGGTCGGAGACGCCCGAACTCTGTCAAAAAAGTGGGGGGGGGGAGTGGTCCAGAAAGCGAAAAACCTCGTCGCCGAATACTCTGATTGCGCGGAGACATTGAATTGGCCAAGCTCGGGCGGAAATCACTCCAGACAGTGGCGCGACGACCCGCGAGGAGTGAGGCGTGGTGGCGAGGCGGGGCGGGGTCGGTGGTGGTAGTGGGCGGTAGCGTTGTACCTCCATGGGCGGGGTGGCGGGGCGTGGCGTGGCGGCAGGCTGGCCCAGCAGACTGATGGGTGCGAGAGAGACAGCGACGTAAACGGCTCTCAGTCTGCAGCATGGCATGTCGGCGCGTCGCGGCCCCGGCGCAAGCCCCGGCGTGCCCGTGCCCCCCGCGCCCGGGGCCGAGCCGGCCACCGCCCCAGCGGCCCTGCGGCCCCGCGGCCCCGCGGCCCGGCGTGCGACACGGCAGGTGAGCGTCAGCGAGTGCGTGCGCTCGGTGCGCCGGCCGGGGCGAGGGGCGGGGCGGGCAGGGCGGGCACAGCGCGGCGGGCACTTGCTGCCGGCTCCGGCTCCGTTGGCTCCGCTTGCTCTGGCTTGCTCCACTGACCGCGTGGCTGCCGCCAGAACCGCCACACCGCCAGCACCGCCAGTACCACGGCCACGGCCAGGGCACACTGCATCCAGCCGCACCGCGCCGACGTCGCGTCCACTGGCAGTTCGCGCGTCCTGGGCGCCACACCGACGATCCGACAGTCACCTGCCGTCGCCGTCAGCCACTGTAAGGAGGAGGAGCCGGCCGCTGTCCACGCCCGGCGCGCCGCCAGAGGGAACCTCACCGCGATGCAGCGGTGGCGAAAGGGCCAGCATGCCCACCAGGCAATACCTCTCTCGAGAAGTCGCCGTGGTGCCTGGCTGAGATGGGCAACCCTTGCGACACTTCCCTGTCGACTTGTCCCGTCGCTGTGGTCTCTCTCGCACCCGAGACAGCGACGGAGCGACGGCCCAGTCGGTATTCCGGTATTGCGTGGGTCGGGCCGCCCCTGGGCCGCCCCTGGGCCGCCCCCGCCGGACTGGTACTGTGGACGGGGTGACGGGGGTGCCATGTGGTGCCGGGCCGGGCGGGGCGGGGCGGGGCGGGGTGGGGACCCGTCTGAGGCGGCCCGTCGGAGACAGCCCGCCTCGGGGAAGTCCGGGTGCACTCTTGGAAGTCTCCGTGCGTCTCTCCAGAAAACGCCCACAGTGCTCATTGTCAAGTCTTGCTGTCATAAGGTGTCTCATCTGTCGTTCGTGAAAACTAAACTTCCTCAAAAGGCGCCTGGCGTTTTGGCCGCCTCCGCCGGTCTTCTGGCCCACTGTGCGCTGCGGCGCGCTGACGGAGACGGAGGCTGTGTGTGCTGACTGGTTGCTCTGGTTGCGCAGGGAGCGCCATGTCGCGTTCCACCATGATGCTGTCGGACAACCCCCGCTGGATAGAGCGACTGGCCAAGTGGCCCGCAGGTAAGCCCGCGCCTTGGTTCCGGCCGAGCGCACGCTCAATGTCGTGCAAAGCTAAAGCAAGTTGTAATTTACAGTGCTAGTGCTCATTAGGCGCCCCGCCGAAAACGAGGCGCGATTCTGACTGGCGCTCTGTGATTGGTTGTAGACCACCGCACGCACGACTGGCCCATGATGGGGTCGCCGGCGTGGCCGCTCACCGTGGCGGCGGCCTACCTGTACTTCGTGCTGTCGTACGGGCCGCGCCTCATGAAGACGCGCGAGCCCTTCTCCTTCAAGGCCTTCATCTACTGCTACAACGTGTACCAAGTCATCGCCAACGCCGCCATGTTCTACACGGTGAGGCCGCCCACCGCCGGCGACGCTCGGGGCGCACCGCACTGGAAAAAAAGTTCTCGGATGGTCCAGGCGAATCAATTACCGATTGAGCAAACTCGGCCCGCCTTCGCGGGGAATCCCTCCACCGCTTCGGGGTGCGGATCGCAGCATACCCCTTCCCTTCCCTGTCCGGCCAATCATTCGCCTGGATCGTCCGCGGGGTTTTTCTTTCCGCCTTTCTTTGCAGTGCCGGTGCCGGACCGTTGATGCGATCAGATTGTGTCTTGGTTTGTTAGTGCGGTCCGGCTGGTCCGGCTGGCCCCGGGCGACGCGTCAATTCATTGTCCAGCCGGCGCGTGCCGGAACGACGACAACTCGAAGCCAGGCACAGTGGGCCAGAAGACCGGTGGAGGCGGCCAAAACTCTAGACGCGTTTTGAGCTCCAGAGTCGCTAAGCGGGACTCGAACAGAACGTGTGACCCCACCAATGGATTGCTCTCCGAACGAGGAATCCATTGGTGGGGTCACACGTTAGGTTCGTGTCCCATTTAGCGACTCTGGAGCTCAAAACGCGTCTAGAGTTTTGGCCGCCTCAGGGGAGCGCCTGCGAGACCCAGGGTGGGCAGACCCGCCAGACACGGCTGCTCGGCGGCACTGCCTACCCTGGGTCTCGCAGGCGCTCTCGCAAAACGAGGCCGTACGTCCGTCCAAAAAATGACGTGACTGTCGGCTTGCCCGCAGGTGCTGACGAGTGGCTGGACGACGACCTACACGCTGGGCTGCCAGTACGTGGACCGCTCCGACAGCCCGGAGGCCACCAGAGTGAGTACGCTGCGGTACCTGGGGCCGCGCAGTGGATTTGCGCCATTTCCGTCGATTTCGTGGAGTCGTCGTCTGATTGGTTGTTGTTGCGACCCATTACTCCCTTGTTTCCAGATGGCCACGGCGATGTGGTGGTGGTTCATCCTCAAGAAGACTGAACTCATCGAGACGGTAAGACACCACCAAGATCTAACTGATAGGCCAACTAGACGCATGCCGTACCCTTTTCTACACGCACACCGAAAGTTTCTTGCTACTTTTCAGTGCGTACTCGGGGGAAAAAGGGGGGGGGGGCTATAGGTCTCTCACGTGTCTATAGACTCGCACGCGAGGCTCGCACGCGTCGCTCTGGCAGACGAAACGTTTTGATGTTTTTCGACGGTCTGCCGATTGCTCCTAGGAGCGGTCAAGAGCATTGCGCCAAAAAAAGGCGGCCCGTCTCTCCCACGGACAAATCTGTTTTCGGGCTTCGGGCCGCTTCGGGCGCCATCGACATGGTGCGTGCCACGTGTCCTTTAAGCCGTGTGTTTGTCTCCGTCTGCCCAGGTGCTGTTCGTGCTCCGCAAGAAGAAGAGGCAGGTGTCCTTCTTGCACACCTACCACCACGTGTCCACGTACTTGATCGCCTGGTTCGCGGCAAACTTCGCGCCCGGTGAGTCCGCCGCCGCAGACGACGCACAGTGCGCCAGAATCCTGGACGCGTTTTGAGCTCCAGAGTCGCTAAATGGGACTCGAACCGAACGAGTGACGCCACCAATGGATTGCTCTCCGAACGAGGAATCCATTGGTGGGGTCACACGTTCCGTTCGAGTCCCGTTTAGCGGCTCTGGAGCTCAAAACGCGTCTAGATTTTTGGCCGCCTCTACCGGTCTTCTGGCCTACTGTGCGACGACACCCTCTAGTCGTCGACATTAATGGCGCGGCGTTTCGGCCCCGCCGACGCTTTGAATGACACACTGGTAGTGCCACTACAACAGCCGATGGCGCGGCCAATGGCCAATCATGCATTCAGATTTGGCGCGATTCGCGCGCGCGGCCCTAGCGCCTTGCAGGCAGTTTGAAATGCAGATTACGCGCCTTTTTTCTCTACCAAGGCAATCACGTTGGATCGGGAAAACTAAGGAGGGCTGGCTCGGGCGATTTGTCGCCGTCCATAGAAATAGCAAACGATGTGTGAATATTCAGTTTGGTTCCGACAGCTTGGAAACGTTTTTTTTTCGGCTGTTGTTGATTCTGACTTGAGTGGTGCGATTTTGCAATTAGGTGGTCTGGTCTCGTTCTCCGTGATGCCCAACTCGCTCGTGCACGTCATGATGTACACTTACTTCTTGCTGTCCACCATCGACAACGACGCCCTGAGAAAGCGCCTCTCCTCGTTCAAGCGGTACATCACGGCCATACAGATGGTAAGGACTTCCCTCCCGCGGGTGTGCCAACCAGAGTCGCTGAATGGCACTCGAACCGAGCGTGTGACCCCACCAATGGACTGCTCTCCGAACGAGGAATCCATTGGTGGGGTCACACGTTCGGTTCAGCCCCGTTTAGCGACTCTGGAGCTGTGCACGCGTCCGGGATTTGGACCGCCCCCACTGACCCCTCGGTGCTTGCAGGTGCAGCTGGGCATCATCGTGACGCACACGATGCAGGCGCTGCGGCCGTCGTGCGGCGCCGCCCCCAAGATCCTCGTCTACAGCTACATCCCCAACGTGCTGCTCGTCATCTACCTGTTCTACAACTTCTACCGCGTCAACTACAAGACCGCGGCCAAGAAGGTGGGCGGCGAGGCGACGCCCAGCTCGGCCGGCTCGGTCGCCGGGACCACCAGGACCAAGCTGGAGTAGAGCTCCGCGTAGAGCTCCGCGGCGGCGCGGCCCCGGCGGCCGTCGACGGGCTGGTCCCGGACTCCCCCCGCCCCCCGCCGCCCCCCAGTGCGGGCCGAACTGAACCGAGGAACGGGGCTCTAGTGTATCCGTATCCGGTTGAGAGAGCACCCGGTTGTGCGTACAAATCGCGGGTCGCCCACAGTGCACTAACAGTGCACTTACAGTGCACCGCCCCAGAGTGACATTGCCTACACTGTCGCGAAACCTTGACTCATGAAGCAGATGAGCGTAGGCCTTGCCGTCCCTACCAAGCTGCATACAAGGGCTACAGTGTAGCTGCATCGCGCCGTCGGCAAAGTGGGATGGACTTGGCCGCGGCCGGGATTCGAACCGCGGTCCGCAAAAAGTGGCGTATTCGCTGCATGGCGAATCCGGCGGCACAGAGGCCCAGGTTGCATGACTCAATGGCTGTGTGGCTTCCGGGCCGAGCCAGGCCGGGCAGATCGACTGAGATACTCTTGGCGCGCGTGCACGCCAGGACGCCAGGTCCATACTGCTCTTTTTTTCTTTAATTGTTTGCTGCTGGCTGTGGTTGTCGCCTTCATCGCGGGTTGGCGTGCCGCGGCGTGCCGTGCCGTCCGAGATCCGTTGACCTCGGCAGGCCGGGCTGACCATTCCGTCCGTATGGTTTTCGTCACGGACGCGAACTGCGGACGCGGCCAACCCATTCCGTAGGGAATAATCTTGTGATCTGTTAGTGTTTAGTTAGTTTTTCGTATTTTCGGGTTCTAGAGGACTCGGCATTCCAGAGCGCGGGTAGGTCCGCCAGGCTACGCCAGGCCAGGCCACCCCCAGCAGCTTACCCATGCTAGCCTTCTACGCTAGCCCCTGCATTTTAACAATCTAATCGTTGGTTACTGATGCACAATGTATTTTATAAGAGGTGACAATTGCTCCAAATCATTAAAAAATAATGTAAACTGTTATATAGGTAGTCGTAGGTGTTTTGAAATGTTTTGAATCTCAGTTGTTTTTATTATTTAATATTTATTTAAATTAACTACATAGCAGGTGGTGAAGGTTCTTTGGAACACCATTGAATTCACCAGCACAAACCCATCTATAGGTAGGTCTATAGTTGATCATAACAATCTACTAACTGTACCATTGTGCTGTTTATCTTATCCTCACCAGTTCCTTACAACTGAATTGTACATACTCTAGAATTAAGAGGCATGTCGACTTACTGATCTGTATATCTTTTCATGACAATAAATGAATATGAAATAAATTTCAATAATAATTGTTTCTCATTATATGATTTTTGGACTATTCAAAAATCATAAATTGTTCTTATTTAACTAACAGAGACATTTATAAACACAGATATGACAAAACAATCCAACATAAAAATCTTTTCTTTTTTTGGCAACATTGACTAGAATCCTGTGAAGAATGAGATCACAAATATGACTGGTACACTGCACTCCTGGAAAAGACCCACTGCCAGGTTCTCATCAGAGAGAACCAATGTTAAGACGGCAGAGTAAACAAAAGCAGTCACAGAAAAATACAGACAAAAATAAAATTGTAAACAAAGTTTTAGCTGGAAAGGGGGAGGTTTCACCTGGCATAATAACACCACTTCAAACTAGATAAAGCATTGGTTCCAGAAACCAGGAAAGTATACAACCGACACAACATAAGATTTTATACTTTCAAATAAGGATTCGGAAATCCCCTCTCAAGCCTTTGATGCAGAAGTCTTTGATGTGGATCTCAAAATTTTACTTTTAAGTGTTCTCATCTCAACTTCCATGCTGAGAGTGTCAACCGTGGGGGATCGAGACGTTGAAGGCACAACTTGAACCCCTTCCAAAGACAAAGATTTCAGACTGTTTTCTATGGCGACCACCGAACTAGGACTAGAATTGTGTTGAGCAGCATCTAGTGCTGGCAGTGCTGGCAGTGCCAGAGGCTCTAAGTCACCTTCTCCAACATCTCCCGGCCCCGGTGAAGGGGTGGGCGGGGGCACAGGCATAGGCACAGGCATAGGCACGGCCACAGGCATTGTGGCAGGGACCACTTGGTTGCTGCTGCTTTCATCGTCAATTTGATCGAGCCAATCACATGATGTGGATGGAACCACTTGATTTAAATGTTCTTCCATTTTGATACTTAGATAAGTACTGGCTATTTACACACCAAAATACTGATATTCTGGAAAGAAGACTTTCCCCCGTACTTCAACACGGAATATAAAGCTATAAAAATGGAATGAAGCTTGACTAGAGTTCAGGAATGATTAGCATTGAATTCAAGCAACAAACTTGAATAAGTTAGCTTAAACCCTGGGAGGGAAACAAAGCAGCACAGTGAAGCAGCACTTGCAATAGTAAAGGAAATGCTGTTCATATTATAGAACAGCGCGTGCTGAATGATAGTCCACAACAACCCCACTTACGATGTGGCTTCTGAGGTGGGAGTAAATCAAGGTCATCCTCGTCCTCTTCCCCACCCGAAAGCGGAAGATTTTCGATGCTGAATGTATCAGTCAATTCTTGGCGGCCATCTCGCATTTTCACAGGGAAGAAATTAATATCTTCCTCACTGCAATGAATAAGCAACAGAAGCAAAATAAATTTCCTATCTCATTACATGTATTGTCAACAAGTAAAGTTACAGAAAATTTCAAACCTGTCTTCTGAGTCCCAGTCAACAAGAGGGTGGTGTTCTTTACTTGTCGCTGCAGCAGGAGTTTTGCTCGGAATAGGTAATCTTTGGATTGGAATTAGTCCAGAGCTCTTCTTGTACTCTTGTAGTCGCTGCACTTTTTTTGCTTGCTCAATGCGGCGCTCTGAAGTTTGTTTTAAAAAGATTATTATCAAACATTCTTTTAAAAAGCCAACTTCCACTATCTATCGGCGAGACACACACCCAATTTTCGATGAAGCTGCTTAAGATTTGTTTTCTGCGGACTGGGGACTGATGTGCTGCTGCAGGAACTATCACTTGTCTATAAAACAGAAGGAAAGGATATGAGTAGAGTCAGTAATGCATTGACAAGCGGATAAAGTGGTCAGGCGAGGAGCATTGAAAGCAGGTACCTGGAAGGAAGCACTAGGAACTCCACACCCTAACCTCTCGTCCTGAATCGGTTTCGGATCGCTGTCGATCCCACTGTCTTCCATAGTGGTCTGTAGACGACATGGGCGGAGTCCAGAAAATCAAACAACTCCAGGAACGAAAGGACGAGCTCCTTGTTGTCTTTATCTCGGAATCATAATTTGATTACACCCATGGGGAGCAGCTGTCGCCTATCAAACAGCTACATTTGCCAAATGCAGAGAATTCGATTGACCCAGGAGGCCGAAACAAGCAATTTGTCCATGAATCGGTCAAGGTTAGGGCTCTACATGATGCTTGAATGCCGGTCTTATTCAGGATTTTTGAGTAATGTGAGTTTCTTTCCTCCTTGCTTCTCTGACATTTCGTCTGCTATGCACTACACTGTCTGCTGTCCGTCTTGTCTTCTGCTCCGGAAGTGCGAGGTCTGTTTAGTTCAAGCTAGCTACTGTGAAGCTCTAGCACCGTTAAATGAATCGTTTCAGTTTCAAATAAAATTGATAAATAGTGGCTCTGAAAGATTTTTACGATATTGAAACTTACGAAGAGTTCGATAATATATCTTTCATACTGTTTCGAAAGGTTGCATCTCCTCTCATTTTGACTCACTTCCGTTTTCGAGTAGTGAATTTTTCATATGGGTGCAGTTCGAAAATAGGGGGTGTGTACAGAAAATACACTGAAGGGGGTGTGTTTGAGGAAAATATACATACACATCCATCTCGTCTCTCGTCTTTTCCCCTTGAAATGGGGTCTTTGAGAGATCTATCTCAGAAGAAGCTGGGATATTTCATTCACAAGTGTTCCAGTTACTCTACTACTTATGTCCCAGAGTAAGTTGCTTCACCGGAGAAGAATTTAATGCGATCTGACATTGAACGCACATAACCTAAATATTTGTGTATCAATCGTGACAAGCTTTCAAATTATATTGCGTTGGGCTACCTATTCTGTTATCTACATGACTAGCTTGAATATTTTAACAAAAGCACTTTTACCATTATTTTTTGCTTCGTAGAAAGACCCTTGATACATGTCAGTCAAGAGCACATCCCTCCTGCATTCCCACTTAACTTTGAAGTTCTTTTATTGTTATTGTTTTTCAGAAACATCCAAGAAGACAAATCCCACGATCAGTCATCACGATGGTCATCCAATTCAAATAATCCTATGCAGGTGATTCAGTTTTGCTTTTATTTATGTTCGCAGATTCGTTAAGTTCCTATTTTGTATCTGTTTTAATCTGTTATCTTTTCTTCCAGTATTTGATTTTAAAACTGCAAAAAGTATCTATTGTGAAAAACATAACTTTTGGGAAATATGAAAAAACACATGTTTGCAATTTGAAGAAGTTCAAAGTGTATGGAGGACTCCATGATGAAAACATGATAGAACTATTAGAAAGGTAAATTTTTAAAAATCTAATGATTGTGTCAAATTTACTACTATGTGTACAATGAGTGTTAATCCTGATACATTTCTTGGTGCAGTGGCTTGAAAAATAACAGCACGCCAGAAACATTTGAGCTGAGGCACGAAGTCGGTGGTCAGCCCCTTCCATGCAGGTACATTAAAATCGTGCCTCTTCAGTCATGGGGTCCCAGTTTCAACTTCAGTATTTGGTTCGTAGAGCTCCACGGTATTAGTGATTGGAATTTTGTCAAGCCGTGCATTGATTGGTTCAATGTGGTAAGTTGCCTATTTGCCTGGTTGCCTATTAGATTTTTTTTGTATGTATCTCTCTTATTTATATTTATTGATATGTTTTTATAGTACCGTGAGCGTGAGGTTATACGGCACTGCTTGAAGCATTTTAGGCAGATGAGGTATACAAATGCTTTGGAAGCCCTTGCCAAGGAAACTCAAGTGCAACTGGAAGACCCACACCTGACAAAGCTCCATGAAATACTTGTGGAGCTTGGGGATTTCCAGGGGACAGAGGATTTTATGTCTGAGGCAGTCTCATGTAAGTGCTGCACATTCACATTCTTGACAACATTGTTTACTTTTCCTCCTAACTACCAGTTTTTAATCTTCTAACAGGTGGAATGTTCAACAACTACATTGGGCAGCAGGAGTATATTCCAGAGTGGATCCTGATGCATGCACCACAACACCCCGATGCATTAAGCAGTGTCGATGCTCCAGCCAAAGAATTGCGGCCAGGGATGAGAGGGGGTCATCAGATGTGCCTCGATCCTACCAGTGAAACCATATACTTGTTTGGAGGTTGGGATGGAAACCAAGATCTGTGTGACATGTGGGCATACCACATTCCGACACAACAGTGGAAACTAGTTTCCCCTAACACATCAGTAGAGGTAAGGCCCCTTTGAGCTGCACCTTTTCTTAGAATAGAATTCAACTTTCTTCAATTTTTGCCTCATGTTGCTAGGGAGGACCAAGTGCTCGTTCATGTCACAAGTTTTGTCTGGATCCTGAGAGAAGACAGATATTTACCCTGGGACGATATCTTGATGTTCATTTTCGATCTCCTCCCAACCTCAAAGTAAGTGTTTTTGTTTTACATGGTATTTTTTTGTACTGTTGTGCTGTTTTAAATAACAAACCTTTGCTCCGTTTTCAGAGTGATTTTTATCTGTATGATATTGAAAGCAACTCATGGACTTTAATAACAGATGACACAGGTTCCATGGGAGGCCCTCAGCTAATTTATGATCATCAAATGTGCATGGATTCAGAGAGAAGAACCATTTATGTATTTGGAGGACGTGTTTTAACTGCCACTATTGGGTACATTATCTCCTCACAGTCTGATTTACACACAAACATAATTTTTATCCAATTTTCTACACACTTGTAACTGTACACCACTTCTTTTCTTTGTATAGAGTGTCAGAAGATCGAAACCCTGCAAATGTCATTAATAGTCAAGATCCAGTTTTCTCTGGACTATATTCTTATCATGTGCCAACAAACACCTGGAAAATGCTATGGGATGATTCAGCTCCTGGGGGACCTCGCATCAAATCACGAGTTGGACACTCCATGCTTTTCCATCCTGTGAGTTACATACATTGCTCTGAAGTTAACTGTAAAACCAATAGCTGACCTAACTTCACTTTTTCCTTTCCGAACTGAAGGTGTGCCGCAAGCTGTTTATATTTGCTGGTCAGCGGGGTAAGGAATATCTTAATGATTTCTATACACTAGATGTTGATACCCAAATAGTTCAAGCCGTGTGTGACTGGGGAGTGTCTGGAGCTGGCGATGGACCTGCATCTGGTTTCACGCAAAGAGCAACAATTGATCCTGACCTAAATGAAATTTATGTGCTCTCTGTAAGTTTCTTATTTTATTTTAAATTTTACGCTTCTTTTGTTCTGTTTATCCTCATCTGGCACATCATTAATTGTCTGCAGGGATTGAGCAAAGACAAGGAGAAAAGAGAAGAAAGTGTTCAGAATTCCTTTTGGGTCTACTATATTAAGAAAAATCAATGGTATGTATGAGTGAGATCTCAGATTTTTTTTTCTTTCTTGTGTACTCTATTTAAAAAGAGAAAGCTAACCCTATTTTTATTTCAGGTCCTGTATCTATAGAAATGAAAATACTGGTGAACAGTATTGGCACATTGAGCCTTGTCCAAGGTTTGCACACCAACTTGTTTATGACCGTGCCTCTAAGGTAAGTACTATTCTCACTAATTATCATAGCACTGCCTAAACCTGCGGATGTAACACGAGTCAACATTTCATTTCAAGGTTCACTACTTATTTGGGGGAAATCCTGGACGAACGGGTTTGCCTAAACTACGATTAGATGATTTTTGGAGGTTACGACTTTGCCATCCCACCCCTCAGCAGCTTGACCACACAATCAAATTAATGATTCGTAAACACAAGTAAGTTGTTTTGTGGCTTTATTGTGAAGGATTGTTTTTTTTTTTTTGGGTCTGATTAATGATTTAACAAATGTACTCAGGTTTGTGGAACTTGCTTCCAAGGATCGTTTTGCTGCTCTGGAGTATTTACAGACTGATCTTTCTGACATAATAGATCACTCAAACAAAGATCAAACAAAAGAGGTTTGTCCATTCCGTTTACTGCAGGTCATGAAATTCACACACAACGAGCATACTTACCGTCTTTTTTATGTTCCAGTTTCAGCAGCTGGCGGCTGTTCTGTTTCAAGGCTCTGATAGCAATGGTGAATCTGATGCATCTGATACACCTGATTGCGAACAGTATCGTCAACGATCACATCTCTTCCATAAATTAGGTGTCTTCTTTCCATCTGGCATGACTCAGCCACAAAGTAGTCTTATTGACTTGATTCCCTTATGAACCTATGGTATCTCTTTGGATACCAGTATAGTGTCCTTCAACTTGCCAGGATTTAATTTTGTCATTAAACCTATATTTTTTAGGTAGACTTAAGTCCACAAAACTTGTATATCGTGTAGTATATATTTAAATGGTATGAAAATATTGTTGAAAGCTCTTACTCACTTGTTCCAATCTCATTTTATGTAACTCTCATGAAATTCTTTATTTTATCCAGAGTATATTTTTTAAATGTTGTCAGCTTCTAATTGCTTTATCTTTTTTCTTCTCCAGAGTGTATATAGGTAATTGTGTTGACCCTGTATAGAGTATTCAATTGTGATGTGTCATGAAGTGCAAAGTGTGATATACTGATGTGAGTTTTCTGCAATTTCTGTGGACTGTAGACTTTGTTTATTTGATAGGACTCTGACTGCACCGTATGAAGACTGTGAGGTTAGAAGCAGACATTAAGTAATAGGTTTACTCTTAACGTTTGTTGTCTGGTGATTTATTTTACAGGGGTTGTGTTTACCGACTCTAAAGTGGTGCCTTGGCCTGTATTTACAAATAAGGAAGTGGTGTGGGCCTGTAGTCTATCTCTCAGGGCTGTGAAAAAGATATTGTTGCAAGCTATTAGGTATTTCATAATAAAGAAAATGTGCCACTGCTGTTATTATAAATCTCAGGACAGTTTTGGCAAATCGATTTAGTCTCTAGCTTATTTCCTTTGGGTGAATTTATCATGAGTGTGTGCTTGGCTTTGATTATTAATACTTTCTGTGCTGGTTTGACCACAAGACCATTCATACGTTAGGGTTCAATAATTAAATTAAAGTGAAAATTATTTTAAAATTATTAAGGATACCTTGGGTAATACCTTTTTAGACTTGTAAATTTTATTATGAAATTTGGTCAAAATACTAATGGTTTTGGACAGGTTTTCTTTTATCTGGTATTATTGACCTTGAATAAACATCTGAACAAAATTCATCATGTAGTCCCGACCTTTCAGCATAAGTATTTTAGGTGGTTAAGGAGATGAGTTTTTAATTTTTAGTTTCAGACATAGTATATGTAAGCATAATGAGAAAACAGGCAGCATTAGTTCATTGGGACCTGTCCTATTTTGTATTAAGTAAAGTTTTATTTTTGACTGGATTATTTTAGTTATTTTAACCATCAGGGACTTAAACTAGGCACTTAACATATACTCGTTTGGTACTTTTGATGGGTTGCTATTGCTGTCATAGCTCTGACAGGCCTTATCCTGGTCTATTGGTAGCAGCCCTTATCATCTTGCCCACCTGTCTTCTGTATACTGTCTTCACCTTGTTTCTTAATGTTTTGATTTGTTTATTCTCAAAATGTTTGAATCAATGATAAATCAGTTTCATATTATTTTTTACTTTTGCTTTTGTCTTCTGTCATGAACGTTGGTTGGATGCAGTTTTGTTTTGATGTATTTATGTTTGTAGATACTCAAGTAGACTTTTATAGTAGATTTGCCTCTCTGGGACATGCAAAGGCTTTATGACAAAAGTGATCTCTTTCCCTCTCATGTAATAGAATTAAAATTGAGTTAAGATACAGTTGTGGTATGCCTGGTATATTTTTGTCTTCTGTTCTCTATTTCAACTTATTACTGTTGAGGTATATGACTAGTCACATGTGCTTTTTTATCAAGTATCTTTCTGTATTTACTTACTACTGTGACAGAATTTGTGATCAAACCAAATTACTTACTAACTCTTTGAAGTTAGAAAGAACAAACATCATGTGCTTCTGAGATACAATTACAGACACACTGACAACATTACCGGGGCAGTGTGAGTTCATTACAAATGCAGTATTCCTTATCTATTTTAGAGACTCATTTGGTTATGTTAAACTGTTATGTCTTTTGAGGGGAAAAAAATGCAAGCATGCTAGCTCTTCCAAAATGTACCAATTGTTCTAGTTATGAATTAAACTAGTTTCACACCAGTAATTGGTACCAGGGTGGTACTGGGGCATTAATTGTTATTTGTTTTGTATGTTCATTTGTAGTGTTTTTGTTATTGGGGACTTTCTGCCCACTGTCAGTCATTACGTTGAGAAGGTGGATTTTAAATAAAAAATCATGTCATCCTTATGCATGCCTTTACTTATAGGTGTACAATGTATGAGACAATGACTGTTCAATAAACACTTTTTAAAAATATGAAGATAATTTTTTTCCCAAATTGATCCAGAATGATGTAGGATTTACTGAAGGAGGTCTCTCTGTGTGAGCTTCATCTTTTTATGTTGCATCACCATACCTGCTGCCATGATGAGGGAGCCGCCTTCGGTCAGCCACAAATGCAAACTCGAACCAACTTCCCTCCCCGCTTGATAGATAATTTTTTCTGCATTATCTAGTTTTTTTGATTCGGGAACTTCAATATTTGAATGTTGTGCCCAGTCTAATATTTTACGAAATCTCTGCTTAAATGACTACATGAAAAGAAATTTGTGAAAGCAAAATTAGCACAAGATAAGGTCTATACTTAAAATATAAAATTGAATGAATTTTAAACAGACTTACCTCTACAAGAACGTTAACAATTTCAGGTGACTCTCGGTGGTTTAACATACATAAACTCATGCCAAACTCATAGAAGTATGGAGCCAGTTTGTGTAAATCAACTACAACTGGGTCAGCTTTCAAGATATCTCTGAAAATTCACAACAAAATGTGAATGACATCATCAAAACATAGAACATACAAAACAATGGACAGAGGTTTATAACAAACCTATACGATTCTTTAAATATTTTTGGTAAACCAACGTCAGCTATTGCAGGACGTTGGGTCTTCAAGACACTTGCCATCCAAAAAGGCAATTCAATATTTGTACCAACTTCGATGTCTCTTTTGTCAGAACCAGGATCCAAAAATCCTACAGGACAAAAATAAAACAAAAAAACAAGACTGACAGAGGGCACAATATTCTGAAAGAATGAAGTAAACAAAGGTATAACCTCACCTAAATGTTTGACTTGCACTTCGAACGTGCATGGCACTTTCTCTTGAGTAGCGAGGATGTCTGGGATTGAAAAGTAATTGGGGACGTAACTGTGACACAGAGACATGATTTTCCGGTGATGACACAGCTGTTGACACCCTCCGTCCAAACTGTCAGACGACAAAGGGTCAAAGATAGCCCGGAAGGCGGGAAAACGGGTTGCTTTGCGGTATGAGAAATCGGGCTGGCGGCGCAGTGCTTTAGGTAGGCAACCCAACGTACACGAAACCCAGAACAGATCTCTCTCTTCTCACAAAAACTTTGTCAGGACTTACGATATCAGTCCGTGGCAGAACATTTCGGCGGAAACAAAGTTGAGAGTGGAAAGTTGAACCGATTTTTTTTTCCCACGGGCTGATGGCGCGACGCTGTCCAATCGTCCGGCCAGTCAGGCCATGGCCAGGCCGGTCCCAAGTTCTTTCTCCTATCTCTGTCCTTGTCTCTGTTTTTGTCTCTAGCGTCCAGTCCGGCCCGGCAGTTGCGGGGAGACGGTCGCGCCACTAACTCGTCCCGTCCCGTCCGGCGAGTCTCCTGTCACTGGCACTTGCGGTGCCGCGCGAGCCTCGACGGTCTGGTAAGAGAGAGAGAGAGAGGACGCGAACCACGCGGAGGGAGTGAGAGGGTACAGTGTACAACGACGTCGCCTCGTCTGCCTCACCGCGTGCACTACGTGGCGGGGCTTGCTACTTGTCGCGAATCTCGGGCCGGGGCGTGCACCCTGCCAGTGCGGCCAGTGTTTTTCGAGAGATCGAAATTGCCAATTTGGCGCCAAAACAGAGGCCTGCACGTCGCTGCAACGGACTGGGGGCGGCAGGCATTGCCAGGCGAAGCGAGGCGAAGCCCTTGTGCGACGCAGCCGCTGCCGAGCCGCTATCACGGCGACTGGCATCTTCGACTCAGCTGCTCCGCTGGTCGCACAATAGGCAGATAAGACGTGGCGTGGGCGCTACTGGTTTAAACGACGTGCCGGGAGCGCGTTCACGACTCGAGAGGTTTGACTGCAGGTTGGGATAAGCTAGATTGGGTCTGGAGGCTAGGTTAGGTGGGAGGTGGTAGTAAGGGATTGCCCTCTGCCTACATTAGTTATTTTCAACACTGCAGTTCTAATTGAGTGGTGTTACGTTTCAAACGGGCCGATAAGCAAGCCCGCCACGGTTTTCCGCCCACCTGGGCACCACCGCATCACGGCGCGTCACCCCGGACAGTGCCTGCCACCTGTGGGCTGCACCTGCGGGCGATCGTAGCCGCTGGGCCTTCCCTATCAGGGCGTCGCGCGCAGCTCGGCCCGCGTCCACTCAACGCCCGGTCTTACACCATTCCTCGAGTGCTTTCAGGTGGCGCCCGCTCCGCGCTCCGCGTTCGAGTGTCTGCTGATTAACGCCGTTGCTGGCCTGTCATTGGCCGTCGCCGCGGCCACCCTCAAGCGGACCAGACCGCTTGCCTTCAAACCAACCTGCCGAATGTTTTCAGGCCAGTCGCGTGCGGTGCTCGCAAGACTCGTGTAGGTCCCAGCCAGCAACCCGGCCGCCACCATGCAGCGATTCGGCAAGACCGCCCTCGTCTTCCTCACGTTCGTCATCGGCCTGGCGGTGGCGGGAGGAATCGGTGAGGACTTGGCGGGACTTCCGCGCACGCCGCGCACCTCTCCAACAAGCACGCCTGCATGCTGCACTGTTACTTCCCTGTTCCGCGCATGTCGCCCCTTGCACGCCTCGGGTGCGCTCGGGAGGGTGTGGCTCCGCGCGTCCGCGTCACAGCCTCGCGTCGCAGCCAGGGCCTTTTCCTCTCCTGCCGTGCGTCCGGCGCGACACTTGGAATCTAAATTCCGGACTCTCGAACCGCTTCGCTGTGACCATGAGACGGCGGCAAGCCAGGCCGAGCCGCACCGAGCCACGCCCTCCGTCAGCGCGCCCCCCTGCCGCCCCTAGGTTACCTGCTGGTGGTGTTGTACGGGGCGGACGACCAGCCGGCCGACATCGAGTGGGCGTCCACCAAGGCCCCGACGCCGAGCCCGCCCGGCCCAGGTAGGCCCCGGTAGCGCGCACGGCCGACGTGGGTCGTGCCTCACGTTCAACGAGTCTCACTGTTCGCCAGTGTAGCAGGGAGGGCATTTTCCCAGGTTTAAAAGTTTGGGTACTGTACCTAGGTAAATTTTTTCAGTACCTTACAGTACCTAGGTACTGAAGAAAAAAATTGTACCGAATACCGTACCTAGGTATCAGTTTCGGAAATACCCGGGACCGAAATGTTTCGGTATTTTTCGGTACGCGCGGGAGTGTTGACGGAGGGGACGGTTAATGAGATGCGCTAATACAATTGCGTAGGGGGGGAAAGAATTGGACAAAAAAAATATTCCGGGGAAGAAACAGGGCAGGTTGGTTTCTGCACAAGGTCAAGGCAAAAGACCTGCACTCTGAGATGAGACAAAAGATCCATCCCAGCCGAGCGCTGAGGGTTCGTGCCTAAATTGGTTCTACCCGGGAACCCTCGGCTGCAGCCAATAGAATTGCGGGAGGTCGGTGAAGGGATGGTCCCTGCTGGCAGGACAATTTGGTGTGTCGAATTGACGCGGGATTGTAAAAAAAAAAATGATAGGGTCATTGATGCAAGAAAGTTAAAAGGAACGAAAACAATTTATGTCCCATTCGTGATGTGTGATTGATTTTTGACGTGTTTGCCCGAATAAGTCCACGTATTGAAGCACTGAAAAAAAACCTAAAAAGTACCTAGGTACTTTTGAGAGTACCGGTAAAGTACCTAGGTACGGACTTGCTCGAGTACCGAATACAGTACCTAGGTACTAACTTTTCAATTTTACCCGGGACAGTACCCAGGTACAGAACCGACAGTACCTTCCAAACCCCGCAGTGTAGGCAATAAGTAGGCCAAAATTCCCAGTGTCGTTGCCGACCTCAGCCTGCCTACTAGGCAACTTCTCGACCCAAGCCCCGACCGGTCGGCAGGCCGAGGCTAGCAACTGTCCCCACACTGGCAGGGCGTCCCGCGGAACGGTGTGGCAACACAGCGGAGCGAGGGAGCGACGGGGAGATAGATAGGTAGATAGAGGGACGGAGCGCGCCCGGCGCGCAGGCAGCGCGCTGCTACGGCGTGCGGTGCGGGTCGGCCTACCCCGTCCACCGCAGGGGCTCTGGAGCGGAACTTGGCCGAGGTGGACCGGACTCTGCGCGCTGAGGATAGCAGTCTCGGAGCTCGACTCTCGAAAAAGAGGTGTCGTAGCAGTTACGCTTGCCGCATGCCGCACGGACTTTGGGAAATTTTAAAACTGCATGGCATCGCCGACCCGCGTCGCAGACAGCTGAATAATTGGACTGTTTGTGACGTTGTCCCCACAGACGCAGACGGGTCGTGCTGGCACAGGGACTTCGGCTTCGGCTCGACCGTGTGCGTGTGCAACTCGACGTTCTGCAACGCGCTGCCCGCCGTCACGGCCGCGGCCAGCGGCAGCGCCCTCGTGTACACCAGCAGCAAGGCGGGGCTGCGCTTCCAACGCCAGGAGCTGCAGTTCAAGCAGGCCGGCAACGGCGGCGGTAAGCTCACAGCGGATTAGGCACGAACCGCACGTGTGACCCCATCAATGGATTGCTCTCCGAACGAGGAATCCATTGGTGGGGTCACACGCTCGGTTCGAGTCCCATTTAGTGACTCTGGAGCTCAAAACGCGTCTAGACCTTTGGCCGCCTCCACCGGCCTTCTGGCCAGTCCACTGTGCAATGGCGTTTCTTATCGTTGCACTGGCAGTGTCCCATCATTGTCGCAATCTCATTTGCAATCAGTCCAAATTCTTTTTTCAATTAAAAGTGGAGTGGTCGTCCACTCGCCCGCACGAGTGGCATATCGGTTCGACGTCACTGCTACTATTCACGCCTCTCACTCGCCCAGGCGCTAACGCCAAGTGATTGTGGATTTTGCAGGCCAGATTTTGACGGTGGACCGCAAGACCACCTTCCAGAAGATCCATGGCTTCGGCGGGGCCTTCACCGACGCCGCCGGCGAGATGATCCTGTCGTTGCCGGAGGCGGCGCAGGACCTGCTCCTCAGGTCGTACTTCTCCGCGGACGGGCTGGAGTACAACATGGGGAGGTTGCCCATCGGCGGCTCCGACTTCTCCAACCGGCAGTACTCCTACGACGACGACAACGGCGAGGACACCACGCTCGAACACTTCAGCCTGCAGAAGGAGGACCGCATCTACAAGGTGAGGCCCTCCACCTGGATCAGCCTTCGTCTCCGTGGGGAGCACCGTTTGGGCGCGAGAGAGACAGAGCCATAACGCGTTTTGACCTCCAGAGTCACTAAATGGGACTCGAACCGTACGTGTGACCCCACCAATGGATTGCTCTCCGAACGAGGAGTCCATTGGTGGGGTCACACGTCCGGTTCTAGTCCCATTCAGCGACTCTGGAGCTCAAAACGCGTCTAGAATTTTGGCCGCCTCCACCGGTCTTCTGGCCCACCGTGGTTCGGTGCGTTTATGGTCGCCGTTTGCTGCAGATCCCAATGGCGAAGAGGGCCAAGGAGCTGATGCCCGAGACGTCCGGTGACCTGCACATCTACAGCACGGTGTGGTCGCCGCCCGTCTGGATGAAGACCAGCAACAAGTTCTCCGGCTTCGGCTTCCTCAAGAAGGAGCACTACCAGACGTACGCCGACTACTACGTCAAGTAGGTGCCGCGTGCTGCGATAAGCGGAGTGCAAAAACAACTTGTCCCTTAATCTGCAGGCAACACTGCCTGATTCGCGTGAAGGGTTGCGATCGAGCCAGTGTTGCCAGCGCCAAGGCAAAGGATTTCGTTCGTAATGCGAAACGATTCTCTGGCCTTTGCTCTCAAGATGTCGCCTTGAAGTTGAATTTTCGCCCTTTTGTGGTAACACTGGTTGACTGGGCGGCAGGTTCCTGGAGGCCTACGCCGCGGAGGGCGTCGACATCCACGCGGTGTCCACGGGCAACGAGCCCCTCAACGGCGTCGTCCCGTTCAAGCACTTCAACTCGCTGGGCTGGACGCCCGAGACGATGCACGTGTGGATCCGCGACCACTTCGGGCCCACCATCCGGGGCTCCAAGTTCAAGGACGTCAAGATCGTGGCCCACGACGACCAGAGGATCTTCCTGCCCTGGATGATGGAGCTGGTGAGTTCCCGTCGTGATTTGGAGACGCCGCTGATGACGATGGTGCTGATGACGGTGACGGTTTGGAACAGGTGCTCGCCGACAACAAGACTGCCGACTACATCGACATCATCGCCTACCACTGGTACCTCAACTTCATCACGCCCGGGGCGCTCCTGGACGCCGTGCACAAGGACTACCCCGACAAGCCGCTCATCAACACCGAGGCCTGCAATGGTGAGTTCCGTGGGGGTTCGGAGGCGAGTGCCTCATGCAGGCCGAAGTGCTCACCGACTGTGCTTTCACTGGGGTGCGCAGGAGACAAGCCGTGGGACTTCACCCGGGTGCAGCTGGGGTCCTGGACCAGGGGCGAGTACTACCTCGGAGACATCGTTGGCGTGAGTGCGACGAGCTGCTGCTTCCTCGGACCGCTCGGACCGCAGCCCCGTCCCAGTGGGCCAGAAGACCGGTGGAGGCGGCCAAAACTCTAGACGCGTGCAGAGCTCCAGAGTCGCTGAACAGGACTCGAACCGAGCGCGTGACCCCACCAATGGATTCCTCGTTCGGAGAGCTATCCATTGGTGGGGTCACACGTTCGGTTCGAGTCCCATTTAGCGACTCTGGAGCTCAAAACGCGTCCGGAGTTTTGGCCGCCTCCACCGGTCTTCTGGCTGCTCCACTGTGCGTCCTGACCCCGCTCGCCCTGCCGCAGGTGATGAACCACTGGACGGCCGGCTGGATCGACTGGAACCTGGCGCTGAACCTGCAGGGCGGCCCCACCTGGGCCAAGAACTGGGTGGACGCGCCGATCATCGTGGACGCCAGCAAGGGCGAGTTCTACCTCAACCCGACGTTCTACGCGCTGGCGCACGTCTCCAAGTTCGTGCGGAGGGACTCGGTGCGCGTCGAGCTGCACCACAGCGGCGGCGGCCTGCTGGAGGCCAAGGTGGACAGCATCGCCTTCGAGCGGCCGGACGGCGCGCTGGTCGTCGTGCTCATCAACAAGCACAACAGCGAGCACAGCGTCAGCATCCAGGAAGGCGACCGCGGCCAGGTCGACGTGCACGTCCCCGCCAGGTCCTTCGTCACGGTCATCTACTGGTAGCGGCGCCGCCGGCCTCACCACCCTCAACGACGGCGTGCCCGCGTCCGCGACCTGGGCGTCCTGGACCGCGCCGCCAACCAGAGTCCGTCCAAACACGGCCAAGCGGCTCCTCGAGTCCATCATGTGCTGTGCCTTTAAATATAGAGACTTTCCCAAAGCCAAAGTAGCGATTCGTTTCTCGTCCCTGACCCAGTGAGGCCCGGATAGGATCCGGAGGGAGCATAGAGCGGCACGCTCGGTTTGACCCTAACGGTGACATGAGGTAAAAGTGCACCTCGGTGGCCAGGCCGCTGGCGGGGCGCGGCGCGGGGGCTGGCCGGGTCGGCGGCGCCGGCTCGTTTTCGGCCTCGGCGCCTCGGCCGTCGGCGTGCCCTCGGCGTGCCGACGCGGTGGCGGCGGGTCGCGGCGGCGCGCGGGCCGCGCTGGCCGCCAGTGCTGGCGCCGCCCTCGCGGCACTACAAGTCCCTCCCCGGCATGGTGGCGAGATGACGGGCCCGACGGGCCTGACGGGCACGTGCGCGTCCCGGACTGCCCGCACCGCCCGCACCGCCCGGACGGACGATCCATGTCGGCCACGCCTTCCCGGAGCCGGTGGGCGCGCGTCCGCGGCGTTCTCAGCCACGCGGGGCTGCTGGTGGCCCTGGGGGTGTACACTGCAGTCGGCGGCCTGGTGAGTCACTCCAGTCACTTCACTGGAAGCGGAGCGCAGAACCAAGCTTCTCTTCAGAATGTCAATGCACGGGCTGCCTCGCGAAGGCGACAACTTCCGGCGATGGTTCGGTGCCGAAAGGGTTGCCAACCTCATCTTTCCCAGGCAAATACCCGCTTGCCTTCGCTTGGCGACCCTTTGGACACTGGAGCATCGTGGGATTTTCCACCAACTTACGTGACTACACTGAAGCCATAAGGAACCTTTCAGCTCACCATCTACGTGTGGTGATAGCGAGCCTGCCGAGAGAAGATCCTTCCTCCAATTTTTATCGGTCCCGATCCAACTTTGGGCAAGGCGGGCAGAATTCAGAATACTTTCCGTCCCTCCAAAGAGTTTTCGGAGCAGTGGGCGTACTCGCGTGGTCCGCCGCAACACCTGCTTACATTCTTTTTGGCTGTTCTCTCGCTGTGCGAAGCGCGGAGCGCGAAGCATTGCAAAGCTGCGGCGCGTTGGGCAGCGTTCGGGGAGGCGGGCCAAAGTACACAAGGCATCGTCAGCCTCGTCGGCATCGCCCTGTCGAGTGGACGGTCGACGTGTGGGGTCAAAGCCAGTCAAAGCAGGGGGCGGGGCCCGGCGGGGCGCGCCCGGCCGGCCAGGGCGATGAGCGAGGCGGCGGGAGCGGCGCGGAGGCGGTGGAGCACACCAGAGAGGAGGCCGCCGTCAGCGGCGTCGGCTCTCGGCCCGTCAGTCAGGGGGCAAACTGCCGACTGTTGGACTGTTTGACGTCCACGCGCCGAGGCTAGTTTTGCTAAAATAATTCAACAGCCCGCGTAAACAGGGCGCCCCGGCGCTAGCGGCAGGCCCAGTGGCTGCGTCGCTCTGTCTCTCTCGCACTCGCGGGGTGTCCCCGCAGGTGTCGATCGAGCTCCGCGAGGGTCCGTGTTTGCAGGGGCTCATCACGAGCTCGAACTGGGACGCGGTGTCGGCGGTGGGGGCTGGCGGGGCCAACGGGGTCAAACGGAAGGCACCTCTCGGGACGCGAGAGCCGGCTATCTCGGGGCGTCTTTCTCTCTCGCACCCTCGCGGCGTCGCGGCGTCCCGCTGGGGTGCGAGAGAGGCAGAGCGACCCTGCTCGGAAATAGCGTCCCGATAGGAAGGGTTGCCGGAATGGGCGCGTTGTTATGGTTATGGCATATTGATGCTGGCTGCATCCCTTTGATGGAGCCGCCGCACTGGCCGAGCTGGCAACCAAGCGGGCAGCCAAGCGGGCAGCCGCGGACGGATTTACGAGGCAGTAACTAGCAACAACGTGTCGGTCGTTCATCTCTCATTGTCAGACAGGGAAAAAATTAGAAATTTTTCTTTAAAAAAAAAATCTATATGAATAGGGACTAGGACATTAGTCAATGACCCTCAGAGAGTTGACCCTATTCTTTGTAGGGGACCAAAGGCAACCCCTCATCAACGTGGAGTCATGTTTTTTTTTACCCCGGGGACCGACCCGGGACATTGGGACTGCCTGGCAGGAGGAGAGGGCTGGGACTTCCCTTGACCGCTCCCCCTCCCCCACCGCCAGTCCGCGACGCTTTAACGCTTTAACGAGCTCCCGGTCAAAGGCGGGGCTCTAAATCGCTAAATGCGTTGCAAATGCCCCAATGCTCTTGTGTGTTATGACTGGTGGAGTGCATGGCCGGGCGGGCGGCGGGCTGCGGCCCCTCGTCCGAGCCGTGACGACACGCCGACACGCCGGCCGTCTATTCTCGGGGCTGTGACGTCACTGCGTCACGGGGAGGTGCGTTTTTTGGATATGTAAACCCTGGCCGGCGGCTCCAACGAGGTGGTGACGTCACAGGGCTGGGGCGTGGAAGATGGTGTTGAGCCCCTTGGCGCTTGGCCGGCTTGCCGCAGGTGTTCCGGGCGCTGGAGGGCCCCGCGGAGGCCGGCCGCCTCCACGCGCTGCAGGTGGCGGTGCTGGAGGGGCGGCGCGAGCTGGTGGCCGCGGTGGGCAACGCGAGCCAGCGCCTCGGCGTGGAGCCCCACGGCCTGGCCGAGCTGCGCGACCTGCTGCACCGCCACCTCCAGGAGTACGAGGCCGTGCTGCACAACGCGTCCAGGGGCGGCGTCGAGGTGCCCGCCCTCACCGCCTCCCCGGGCGCCGCCACGCCGCCGCGCTGGACGCTGCTGCAGGGCATGTTCTTCGCCGCCACTGTGCTCACCACCATCGGCTACGGCAACATCGCCCCGGTGACGCTGTGGGGCCGCGTCTTCTGCCTCTCCTTCGCGCTCATCGGCATCCCGCTCACCCTGAGCGTCATCGCCGACATGGGCGTGCTGCTGGCGTCCGCGGTGTCCGCGCTGCCCTGCTGGGGCTCGTGCCGGTCTTGGTGAGCCACACGCTGCGCTGGTAAAAGCCGCCGGACTCTCCGCCCCCGCTAACCGCTTGGTCCTGCGCAGGTGGGCGCTGGACGACGCCTCCAGGGGCACGGGCACGGGCATGTGCCGCAACATGCTGCTGGCGCTGGCCGCGGTGCTGCTGCTGTTCCTGTACCTGGCCGCCGGCGCCGCCATGTTCACCCTGTGGGAGGAGGGCTGGGACTTCTTCGAGAGCTTCTACTTCTGCTTCATCACCATGACCACCATCGGCTTCGGCGACCTCGTGCCTCGTGAGGATGCTCTTGGAGTGGTGTGCGGTGGTGCTGGCGGGTCTGACGGCGAGATGCGTTGCTTGCAGGCCAGCCGGCGTACACGCTGCTCTGCACGCTCTACATCCTGGTGGGGCTGGCCTTGACGTCCACCATCATCGAGCTGGTGCGGCGGCAGTACGCCACGTCCTGGCGGCGCCTGCAGGAGGCGCTGTCCGAGTCCGGGCCCGCCCTGGGCGACGCGCTGCGCCGCCTCGGCACCGTGCCCGACGTGCACCTCAAGGGCCTGCTGGCGGCCGTCAGCCTGGCGCGCCTCGTCCCGCAAGGTAAGCATGCAGCCATGCAGTGGGCCATTGCATGCCTTTGTTACGGAGTGCGATTATCCGCCTTAGTTTGGGAGCAGTATTGCCGCAAAGTTGATCAAAACGGTCAAAAATGCCTTTGCAAAATCGTGTTTTGGGCCGACTTTAAGCAGACACTGCGTCCGATCCGAGGCGGTATTTCCTACTCCCTCAACGGGCAATTGGTCTTTGGACTTTCCTTTTGCATGCCTTTGTTACGGAGTGCGATTATCCGACTTAGTTTGGGAGCAGTATTGCCGCAAAGTTGATCAAAACGGTCAAAAAGCATTTTTCAAAGGTATTTAAGGCCGTTTTGATCAACTTTGAGACAATACTGCTCCCAAACTAAGGCGGATAATCGCACTCCGTAACAAAGGCATGCTTAAAGAAGGTCCAAAGACCAATTGCCCGTTGAGGGAGGACGAAATACCGCCTCGGATCAGACGCAGTAGCTGCTTAAAGTCAGCCCAAAGCACGATTTTTCAAAGGCATTTTTGACCGTTTTGATCAACTTTGCGGCAATACTGCTCCCAAACTAAGGCAGATAATCACACTCCGTAACAAAGGCATGCTTAAGGAAGGTCCAAAGACCAATTGCCCGTTGAGGGAGTAGGAAATACCGCATCGGATCAGACGCAGTGGCTGCTTAAAGTCGGCCCAAAACACGATTTTTCAAACTAAGGGGAGGCAAGCCGAAAAAGGTTGAGAACCGCTGATGTAACCCGACCTAACCTGAGCACCTCCTCTCCTCCCGCAGGCGGCGGCAGGGACGAGCTGCCGATGGCGCCGACGGGCGTGGACGCGCAGGACTGGGAGCACGCCCTGGCCGCCGTGCTCCGCGAGATGGAGGAGAAGGCCAAGAAGGAGGCCGACAAGGAGAGCGAGGCCGAGCTGGAGCTGCTGAACCGGCGCAGGGAGAAGGGCACGCGGAGGCCGCGGACCTCGGCGCCGAGGGAGGCCCGCCTCATCGAGATCGTCATCTACGAGACCACCGTCTAGGCTAGGCCGCCCCGGGCCGCCCAGCCAGGACTTGTCTCTGCAGCGTCTCTGCGGCGACTCATTAGAGTTCAGCCAAACACACCGACTTCGGACAAAAGTGCTGATCTCTCCAAACACAAAAACGCCCGAAAGGAGTGAATTGAGTCACTTTAATAGGGTGGGTCGGACCGCATAAAATCTGAAAATTTTTATTTAAAGTCTATTTTTTCTAAAACAGTGTGTGCCTTGGAAAGTTAAACCAACCTGCGAGACTATTTTTTTTCGACCGTTTATTAAATACTTTACATATGTACAAACATCTTCGATGTCAAAAAAATAGATGAGTATGTGGCACATGATGATGGGTAGACCAAAAAAATATTGACCATACCTCTCTTTAAAAAAAACAACAACAACATTGCATAATTGAAACCCTGCGCAACCGTCGACTTTACCTGTTGTTTTTGAGTTAAAAGTAAGTAGTAAATTTCTCTTTTTTGGTTACTGAGCACTGGATGAAGGCAAGGAAAGTCACCTAAATTTGGCGAACTGCCAGCCCTCACAGCGTAATCACAGTCGCATTACTGGCTTTTGGCGAATAAAAAATAAGCACCTTTTGGAACGAACTCGTCAACAGCGAAGAAATACTTCACATCCCCAAGAACATGACAAATTTCAGCAGAAAGGGTGTCATTTTCACGTCATTTACTTGACGTGACTAATTTTTTGGTTCTCGGGGATCCGTTCTGAACTCCGGCCGAAAACTGATTCTCTTCCCAAGTGCGTCATGTCCTGCTTTCAAACAGAGAGCCTTGCCCGGCGTGGCGGCGTGGCGGCGCGGCCCGGGGCGCCTCTCTCCGCGTGCGTCCAGCACACTGCCCTTCATCGGGCGAAGGTGCTGGGCGCTACGACTTGACGGCCTTCTTCTCCACGTCCACGTCGTCCTGCAGGGCGCGCCGCCGGCGCCGCATGGCCGTCACGCCGATCTCGGTGCTCCACATGCAGATGGTGAGCGCCGTCAGCGAGTTGATGGCCATGATGACGTAGTTGTAGTCGCCGAGCTTGTCGCGGATCACACCTGTGCAGGAGGGCAGGTTAGCCTAGGGTAGGTCAGGCTGGGTTGGCGTTCCACAGTGAGCCAGAAGACCGGTGGAGGCGGCCAAAACTCTCGACGCGTTTTGAGCTCCAGAGTCGCTAAACAAGACGAGAGCAATCCATTGGTGGGGTCACACGTTTGGTTCGACTCCCATTTAGCGACTCTGGAGCTGAAAACGCGTCGAGAGTTTTGGCCGCCTCCACCGGTCTTCTGGCCCACTGTGCGCCCGGCGCCGCGCTCACCGACGAAGGGCCCCAGGGCCATGAAGATGAGGCCGTTGGTGACGGACTGCAGCCCGTTGGCGGAGGGCAGGCGCTCGATGGGCACGTAGTCCGGGATGACGAGCACCCAGTACACGGTGCGCAGCCCCTTGGCCACGCCTAGCGCCACCATCACGCCGATCAGCGACTCGTACGAGTAGCAGAAGATGAGCACTGCGGACAAGCCGGACAAACCGGGGATATCGGCGACCCGCTCGGTGTGGGAAAGTTATACCAAGGTGCTGCTCACTCACCCGTCCTCGTGGCGATGAGCAGCGAGAGCCCGATCATGTACATGACCCTGACGGGCTGCTTGAACAGCTTCTTGATGAAGGGCGCCAGGAAGCGGAAGATGATGTCGGCCACGGCGATCATGGACACCAGGGTGGCGATCTCCTGCGTGTCGAAGTGGCGGTCGCCCAGGATGAAGGGCGTCAGCAGGGAGAAGTTGATCTCGGCGAACACGGCGAAGGACAGCCCCAGCATGATGTTGACGTACACGGGGTCGCGCAGCAGGTCCAGGTCGAAGAACTCGGCCACGGCCCGCAGCCACCGCCGCCACGCCGGCGCCGCGGCCTTGGCCTTGGTGACGTCATCCTTGTCCACGGCCTTGGTGCTGCCGTTGCGCGCCTCCGCCTTGTGGCCGCTGGAGATAAGGATTGCCGTGTGACGTGGGTTCGAATACCGGCAGAAACCTTTTTTTTTTTTGTGCCTGTGGCTTACTTGTTGAGCTTGTGCTGGTCCCGCTGGTCCTCCAGAGGCTCCACGTTGAGCGCCATGACGCTGCCGCTGAGCGCGTCGCTGTGGATGGAAGCCATGGACGCCCAGAGGGACGGCCCGTTGGGCCCGTTGCCCGGCTCCGTGCTGGTGGTGCGGGACAGGACCGCCACCCCTGCGCCAACAAGACCGACGCGTGCGTGTCAACGGTGTCACTGGCTTGCGCCGCGCGCGCCCTGCCTCCGCCGCCCGGTGGGCTGCCTACCTCCACGGCGCTCACCTGACCTGTGGCTCGCGACCGAGTGCCGCCGGTGCCCCAGCATGGGCGCCCTGGTGTCGGCGTCCTCGTCGCCGTCCTCGTCCTCCTGCTTGGCCTTGGGCGCGACCTTGCCGGCGTTGGCCTGCCCGTTCATCCCCTTCTGCTCCGCCGCCTCGCCCTCCGAGTTCTCCTCCAGCGGCTCGAGCGCCACGGTGGGCGCCATGTCCACCAGCTCCTGGCTCTTGGTCTTCTTCTCGTCGTCCTTGTCCGCTGTAAACCCAACAGTGAGTCAGTGGCGCTACCCGGGACGCTGGTGGGACTCGAATCGAACGTGTGACCCCACTCACTCTCCGAACGAGGAATCCATTGGTGGGGTCACACGTTCGGTTTGAGTCACGTTTAGCGACGCTGGAGCTCAAAACGCGTCTAGAGTTTAGGCCGCCTCAACCAGCCCACTGTGCGACGCCGAGGCTCACCGGTCTTGACGAGGTGCCAGCGCACGGGGTGCAGCAGCAGGGCGCCGACGGCCGAGTGCAGCGACAGCGCGCCCAGCAGCAGCGCCGTGGCGCGCGCGCCGTACTCCTTCATGGCGAGGCTGATGAGTAGCGGCATGAACACGGGGCCCAGCCCCGTCACCGTCATGGCGAAGCCCATGGCCATGCTGCGGCGCGTCGTGAAGTACATGTTGATGGCGTACGCGAACGACGCCATGGTCAGGTTGTATCCAGCGGCTGTAACACTCATTCACTGCTTTGGCCGAAAAACGGGTGCGCCGTAAGGTAGGCAGCGCGGCACTCACACATGATGATGCCGTAGGCGATGATGAACTCGGCGAAGGAGCGCGCGAAGGACGTGAGCACCACGCCGACGAACACGAGCAGGGAGCCGCACAGGGCCACCTTGCGGTAGCTGAACCTGCGTAAGATGGGGCCATTAAAGAGGCCTGCCGGGAAGACGGCCTGAGGTTAGGTGAGGTTAGGCCAGCCGATGCGCTTTCATTGGTCCGCCACTCACCCAGAGCCAAGCCGAACGCGTTGTTTAGATTCATGATGATGGCGGTGTCCGTCCCGCCGATGTCCAGCTGCGAGAACAGGTCCCTGAAGACGAGTCCGAAGTTTTGTATAATCGGTATGATGATGATCTGAACGGGCAGCCGGAGACATGGATGAGAAAAGAAAACAGGTGGCTTCGCAAGGCAATTGAATCCAGGGGGCTCACGTTGTTGAGCGCGTACGCCGCCGCCACGACCCAGCCGTAGCCGCCGTCGGGGGGCCCCATGCCCTCCGGGAACACGGGCGGCGGGGGCATCTTGGAGGGGCCTGCAGGCCTGCAACAGGGCAGAACAGTGTGGGGCCGCGTTGCTGCGTTGGCGCTGGTCCAGGGGCACTTCCGGGCACTCCCAGCCACTCCCAGTGCAGGAGCCCAGCCGCCCAGCCGCACAGTGGGCCAGAAGACCGGTGGAGGCGGACAAAACTCGAGACGCGTTTTGAGCTCCAGAGTCGCTGAACAGGACTCAATCCGATCGTGTGACCCCACCAATGGATTGCTCTCCGAACGAGGAATCCATTGGTGGGGTCACACGCTCGGTTCGAGTCCCATTGAGCGACTCTGGAGCTCAAAACGCGTCCGGAGTTTTGGCCGCCTCCACCAGTCTTCTGGCCCACTGTGAGCCTGAGCCGCCTCCACTGAGCCCTTCCTAGAGGACGCCCCGTAAATCAGCGATGAGACACGCTTTCCGCGCCACTCCCTCCGCAGCCCCGGGGAATTTTAGAATCCACCGAATGACGCCATTTTCATCCCAGCTGTTTTAGCAGTGCCGCCATTGTGCGCGACAACGCTGGCATGGGCGCGCAGTTTCGTTTCAGATTCACGGACCGTGCCAGCGGCCAAGATGGCACAGGATGCAAAGTCGATTACGGGAGGAGAAGAATTCAATTTTGCATTCTTGAATCTCGAGTCCACGGTGCTGGAGGGAGGTTCGAAGCGCTGTCGAAGCGTTGTCAAAAGTGCGGTCGAAAGTTGTTTTTTTTTAGCGGAGCCGACTCAAATCCCAGCGCCTCCCATAAGGGGGCCCTTCATAAGGATGACGCTGACAGTGTGTGGGAAGCTGCAGGTCCTGCAGTAACGCCCCAAGCCAGTTCGGAGCCAAGCCTCCGTCTCTCTCGCACTCGTGGGGCGCCCCGTGTGGGTGCGAGGGAGACGGGGCGACGAAAACGACTCTGCAGGCCGAGCCGGGCCATAACCATTCACCGGATGAGCGCCATGAATCCGGCTCACAGTGCTCTGTCTCCCTCGCACTCTCGCGGTACCGCGGTACCGCGCGAGAGTGCGAGGGAGACAGAGACGGTGAAGTGCGCGACCTCGCGTGTACCGCAGGCGGCGCGTGGCACGCACAAGCCGCACGAGTCCGTCGCGTTACAGTGTCGCGGTGGCCGTGGGACACTGTATGACACCGGCACACCGGCGGCCCGGCTATCTGCAGGGATTACGCGGCTGATCCGAACCATCGCACGCCGCCTTGATTTGGACTCGTGATCCACTCCACGCACCGCGCGCCAATTTTCGCGCATCACAGCGGGCCGGTGGAGGCGGCCGAAACTCCAGACGCGTTTTGAGCTCCAGAGTCGCTGAACAGGACTCGAACCGAGCGTGTGACCCCACCAATGGATTCCTCGTTCGGACAGCAGTCCATTGGTGGGGCCGGCGTTGGCGCAACAGGCTGGAGCAAGACGACACACCGACCGAGTGCGCCGCGCATAATATTACGTGACGCGGACTGCACTTCACTGCAACGTCTCAACGACCGAGGCAGTGGAAAGGGGAGGCCTCCGTGCGGCGAAGCCAAGCAGAATGGACGCTGGGTCGAAAAAAATAAATTTCATTCTCTTCGCAATGTCTTTGAAACTTTTTATTTTTGCGCCTCGGTTGAGTCCCCTCACTTTGAGGCTCGCGAGTGGAGTCATTGTGCGAGGCCACGGTCGCGCTGCCTCCGCCGCGGCCACGCCCCCTAGCAGTGTACGCAGCGTGCTTTGGTCTTGCGTGCCGCGCGGACCATCCGCCACAGGCCGTCTCTCTCGCACCCTTGCGGCACGCGCCATGAGTGCGAGAGAGACAGCCTGCTCTGCCATATGCTGCCGGCAGCACGAACTCGCGTCGTCAACTCGGCCAATTGACGATCGCACACTCGTCGAAGCGTACAGTGCCGCGGAAAGCTCCGAACGCGGATCGGCTGCTTGTCGCGGCGCCGCGTCACTCCTCGCTCCGTCTCTCTCGCACTCGCGCAGTGGGCCAGAAGACCGGTGCAGGCGGCCGAAACTCTAGACGCGTTTTGAGCTCCAGAGTCGCTAAATGGGACTCGAACCGAACGTGTGACCCCACCAATGGATTCCTCGTTCGGAGAGCAATCCATTGGTGGGGTCACACGTTCGGTTCGAGTCCCATTTAGCGACTCTGGAGCTCAAAACGCGTCCGGGATTTTGGCCGCCTCCACCGGTCTTCGCTTGCTTCGCTCCACCGCACACACGTGCGCGCACGTGCACGCCGCTGACCCTTCCCCCTGAATCACTGAATGCCTGAATCGCCCCGAAGCGCGTCTGGCGCACTAGAGTCATGGCGCACTGTCCGCAGTCCGCACCTCGGCGGCGTGGTTCCAAGATAAAAGATACGGCCAGCGACGCAGGAACAACGACCACATTATGGGAAGAGCGGCAAATTATATCTATGACGGCACACACACTGGGAGGAAAGGATCGGGCCGCAGTTCTCCAAAGCAAACAAACAGAATCTTAATTTTAAATCACTTTTCTTTGTATGGCGTTCGGGACAAGAAAGTGCTCCGGATGCTCCAATGCGTCATCTCTATCGCGGACGTCCAATGACCCGGTTTATCGAATCAATCTCGCCCAGGTCCTCTGCGACCAGTCTGCGACAGACACAACACCCTCGCCCGTGTGACCGCGCCGTGACCGCGCCGTGACGCGGTGGCACAGTGGGCCAGAAGACCGGCGGAGGCGGTCAGAAAAACTCTAGATGATGACCGGTCTTCTGGCCCACTGTGCGGCTAGAACCGCGTGTTGCACAACAACGCGTGCGCGCAGCGGACGAGCAGCTGACAGTGTGTCATGGCGGCGGAAGGAACATTTTGGCGGGACGATGCCGATTGGTGAGTAGAGTAAGTAGTTAGTGATAGTCACTGACGTGGTCCAGGCGGAAGGGGGGGGGGTCAAGGACGCCGGCAGCACTTAGAGCTGGCGGGCGTGCCGGCAGGCCGCCGCGGGAAAACGACTACTGTACTCGTCAGGTGGACAAAGGTGGGGCCCGCTCAAAAATCCAAAAATAAAACAAAATTCTGCCCGGCGGTCATAAACGTTTGGGCGTCGACGCCGTCGCGCTGTCCGGGCCAGCCGCTCCGAGAAGTAGCGGCATCTCGATCCTCACACCATCTCTCTAAGTCTCGGTTTCGCCCTTTCCCGCTGTTTCCCCATTGCCACTCCTACCGATGACGCGAGGTTCATTTTGGAGCAGATAGACGACCGGCGAACGCGAAACGCCCGAACCGCCGGCCAGATAAGTGAATCCCCTGAACCGAAGGGCTTTGGCGGCGGGCCGCCAGTCGCGACGACACATTCCGTCGCTCTGTCTCTGTCGCACTCACGGGGACCCGTTGGGACCCGTGGGCGTGCGAGAGAGACAGGGCGACGCACGATTCTACTGAACCGCTGCTGACAGGTCGTCACGCGGCACGTACAGGGAACCGCGGCGCCGTCGCTTTCGCGTACACTGTTGTCGTTCGACTGTCTTTCCGAGGAAGGCACTTCTTTGTTGGGCAACCGTGGTGCAACCAATCAATCAGAGGGTGTGCACGCAAGTCCCCCACCCCCTCGCTCCATCCCTCGAACACGCGCACGCACGCACACTACCACAGCACTGCCAAATCAAGTACCTTGCGTCCTTTTCCCGAATTTATGCTGTGGGCGGACAGGGGCCCGCCACTGGTGTCAGTCCGGTGCCACTCCGGCGGGAGTCCGTCTTGGTGTTCACCGCGTTCTCTGGCGACGCGATCATGCCGGTCGGCCGCGCACCGCAAGCCGCCGGTACACTGGAAGCCGCCGCGCGGAAAGTCGAGTCGCCGCGCGGAAAGCCGCTGGTGGCGGAAGCTCGCGGCTGAGTGGTGTGTGGCACACTGTGTGGCACAGTGTGTGCGCCCGGCGGCGACTGGCAGAGGACTGTCCGGCCGGTCCACCACGCGGAGCGCGGAGCATTGCCGCGGAGTCGCGGAGTGCGGAGCCGTGGAGCAATGGCGCGAAGCGTCAAGTGGGGCCCGAGCCAAGCGCGGCCGGCACCACTGCCACGCCCCGCCCGGGGAAACGTCAACGCGCTGGAAGACTGGAGGACGCCGCGCAGTGGGCCAGAAGACCGGTGGAGGCGGCCAAAACTCTAGACGCGTTTTGAGCTCCAGAGTCAGTAAACGGGACTCGAACCGGCCGTGTGACCCCACCAATGGATTCCTCGTTCGGAGAGCAATCCATTGGTGGGGTCACACGTTCGGTTCGAGTCCCATTTGGCGACTCTGGAGCTCTAAACGCGTCCGGGGCCCACTGTGCGACGCCCTCATCGCATCCCCTTGGATCCGAGCGCCTGCCGGGTGCTGTACTTTCCCAGCCACTCGACCACGAAGAGAGCCATCTTCTATTTCTGAAGGTGTTCGCTGTTTTAATTCGATATGTGCGTACTAGGCCGGTCGAAAAGTGGCCGTTGCACGCCGTGCTGGCCGTCATCCTCGCGAAGCAGGCCCGCTGCTAGAACCCGGCCCGCCTTATCTAATCGCCCCGCCACTGCGATGCACTTGATCGAGGAGGCAGCCTTGCCGGCCTTGCCCTTTCAGACATGCCGTTTCCTGTCTCATGACTAATGCCTGGAGTGGAGTGCCCCGATGAACAAAAGTCGGGGGTTAGGTAAGGTTAGGTTAGGGTAAGCCAAGATGGGTCGGGAAAAACGTAGTTTAGGTTGGATGAGGCACTGTGAATGAAGAAGCTGAGCGCTATCACGTAGGGGATCGATTGTGATAGGACTCGGACAACGTGTCGCGATAGCGCTCGAAGGCCGCGCTTACTACGGCCCTCGGAAGTCACCAAGCCTGAAAAAAAAAAACCCTGACATCACACACAGAAAATAAGAGAGTTGCGTCAGTTGGGTGGCCTACCCGCCAGGCGCGCGGCCAACTGCAAAGTCCAAGTTGTTTTCGAAAAAAAAAAAAAAACAGTGTCAGGCAGAATGACACGCGCCTCGGCCGGGGCCTTTGCATCGCGAAAAGTATTCATAATTGCTTCAAACTTACCCCGCAATCGCGCCTCACGATGTCATTCCCCCTCCACCCTATTTCTGACCGTCGACGTTCTCATCCTGGCTGTTGCTAGCCTCGCTGCTTTGTTGTTGTTTTGTTTCTCGCCCGTGACGAAATTTGAACCTGGCAGATTTGATCGTGGACCTCATGTTTTAGCCGACTGCTGCAAAATATTGCTGGAAAATGAGCAGAAACTACGCCCTGGTCCTATGGACGAAGACGAAGCAAACGAACACCATTCCCGAGGAGTCGTTGGTGAAAACGTTCGGTGAAAATGGCAAAGAAACACCGCCGTGCGAAGGCGCACTCCGCACTGTTTTGATTGCGGAAAAGCCTTACGAGGCGAAAATCTTAAGACTATCTGGTGAGTTGTCTTAACCACAGCTTTTCGTTGTGCACCACGCATTTCTCTTTGTTTTGTACTTTTTTTACTCACCGTGCTTTATCAAGTTGCATTCTGTTATCGTCGATGTGACTGTTCTTGTTATTTCTAACCTGTCCATTCCAGGCTTTTGTATCAATTTATGTTTATTTTTTGCAGCTTCGAAGAAATTTCTACAGTCTCTTTTGGTTACTAAGGATGGTGAAGTACTGATGCATGGCACTAAGCCTTCAACTTGTAGCGTTCTTGCGAAAAGAAGTAAACTATTTAATGAAGAGACAGATGATCAGAAAAAAGAACGCAAAGTTTTCAGAAACCGCTACTTGAACGCAGAAGAACAACAGCCCACTATTAGTCTGAAGCCTTCGTCAGGATGCTCTCATGGTTGTCCGAGTTGTTGTAGTGGAACTCTCCCTCCTTTCCCGACAAGTAAGATTATCCCACAAAGTGCCTTGATTGAAATGTTTGCTTAAAGTGGTTCTCTGTAATTCAACTGTATTTCTCTCTTTGATCTACTTCCAGTTCCGGAAGGATTTATAAGCACTGTTGTGTCACTTGCTCAATACTTCCAGCAGTTCCATCGGTCAACCATTGCAAATATTATAGCTGCCGGTCATAACATTGATAAGGGAGAGCCTGAGCCTTGGCTGGTGAAGTGTGAAGGAAAGGTACATATCCTGCTCTCATCTAATTTTGATTGATAGCTGAAAATGACTGTTTTACAAGTGTGTTTAAACCTTTTATTTTATTTATCAGATGGAGGTGATTCTGGGCTCTGGTGTCTGGATCAATACTAAAGTTTTTGAGAGGATTGTGCTTCAAGTAGATTCTTCTAAGAAGCCCCCTCAGCAAACATTAGTGAAGAACTTATTAACACATCTCCTGGGGGTTGAGAAATACATAGAGACCCCTGCTGAAAAAATGGATCGTCGCCTAATGTCAGCTGTTATTGGTATGTTTTCAATTGCAAGGTGAAACATTGACATTGTTTGCTACTTGTCTCTTTTATTTTCTCCAAATGTTTATATTTCAGAGTTTGTCAATGAGAGGTATGCTGAGACTACTCAGTCATTTGACCGCTTCAACAGATGTATAAATCTTAATCGAGCTTACATGACAAAGAGGAGAAATGAGGGACTCCTCGATGATTCTTATCTGACCGTCAAGTACTTTGATGGACCTAGCAAATTTGAGGGCACCCGTGAAGAAAGAGCCAAACTCCTCACTGATATGGAAGCAAAACGAGCAAGAAGAAGTGGACCCAGCGTTAGTGCAATGTCTTCATCAGATGCCAATCCAAACCTGTTTGGCAGTGCAAATCAACTTACGCTTCCTCTTCATAAGGAAAATTCTGAAGACATGCCTGTGAATGCAAACAAAATCATAGTGGTGCGCAGACCAGCTACAACTTTATCAAGCTTTGAAAACATTCAACAAGGCTCTGTTGTTGTGTCGTCAAATTATCAGTCAAGTTTTACATCTGGCACTCCAATCAACACTTATGCCAATAGGTCACTCAATCAATCTGCTGGTAGATCCATTCTTGTCCCTTCGAATCAATCTTCTGTCTTTTCAAGTAATCTAGTGGCTGTCACTTCTGACCGTCCTATTGGTGCAATGTCCCTTCCCGTTAACTCTTCAGTTCTATCAGCCGGTCCTGTCAGATCAGTTCCTGCCCAAAGTCTACCTAAACCAAACATGCTTACAAATTCAATGACAACCCTAAAATCTGGAGCTGCTTATCCTGCAGCTACTTATTCCGCTGCTTCTTATTCCCCAAGACCTGTAAACACTATTAACACCATAAACACCTTAAACACTGTAAACACTGCAAACGCCCCAATGAATCGTTCAGTACTCACCATGGCTCCACGTCCTGCAGCAAACCGTGTGTTGACTAGTCAGCAAATCTCCACACCCAAGGGTGTTCTTTCATTTACACCAACTCCGCGAATGTCTAGTCCATCTCCTGCACGGATTGTAGTTGGGTCCAGCTCGACAAGTAATTCCCCTTTGAGCACCCCCTCAAACAAAGGCAAAGAGTCGCCTGCTGCTTCAGTTAGACATACACCTTCTATACTGGTCAACAGATCCCATAATCAGCCTGTGCGAGTGAGCGGACCTCCTCAGTCCCAGGCCAGGCCTTCAAAAGCACCTTCTCCCGATATCATTGAAATTATGGATGACGATGGCCAGGTGTTCCCTCCACCTAAAAATGTCAAAATGGAGGAAAGCTTTGAAATAGAGGGTGCTTTAAATTTTGAACTGTAAATAACCTTTTTTTTAAAAATTGTTTTTGTAATTTTAATCAAGTGTGATTAAATTGTGATATTTAAGTACTTTCAGCATTGTCTCATTTAATTTTTTTTTTTAAATTTTACTGCTACCTTATCGATCTACTGGTTGAAAGTAAGAATGGTTTCTGGCTTTTGGCCAGAGGGAGGTAGAGGAAGGGGTGGTGGCGAAGCAAGGCGAAGCACACCTAGGGGCCTCAGGGGCGATGTGCCCATGAGCGGCGTTTTGCCTACCTTTCAGGCGGCCGGGAGGCATCCTCGCTTGCATATCGGAGCAGAAACGACTGTTCGGGACCAGGCTAGACTGCATACGACGACACGCCACACTGCTGGATCTTGGCATCGCAGGAAGTCGACCTCTCTCCCTCTCTCTCGCGGTGTGCCGGTGCTCGCGGATGGCGCCGGGATAGCCAATCAGTGACAAGCCGTCACTCACTGCGACGCGATCCCTGCCGACTCGTTCTCGTTCGGGACACTGCCTTCGTCGCGCCGTCCCCCTCGCTCTCACGGGGCGCGCCGTGTGGGTGCGAGAGAGACAGGCAGCCTGCAGGCCGAAAGGCCGAAAGACACGCCGCTGTCTCCCGGCCCATCCGGCTGTCCGGCTGCACACTGATTCCGAGAGTCGTTTTCGTCGCTCTGTCTCTCTCGCACCCTCATGTGTCGCCCTATGAGTGCGAGAGAGACAGAACCAGTCGCTGGCGCGACACCGGAGGGACCTTCGACTCTCTCTCGTTATTGGACATTGAAACAAAAAGTTGCCGTTTCTGTTGTTGCCTGGCGTTGCTGCCGTGGGGCCTGGCGTGGCGAGATTGGGCCCAGTCTGCCTCTGCTCATCGTCGGCCATGCCCAGGGTGGCCATGCCGCCGTCCGGGGTTCCACGGGTTCGACTCCCCGCAGGGCTTCTTCGCCTCCGCCCCCCGCACCCCACCCCTTCCCCGCGCCTCGTCGCCGCCATCGTCCTCGCTCTCTGGGGATTATGTTCTTCGCGCATCACGTGAGCGTTCGCACCGTCTAACAGTAACAGACCTCCCTGAAAACGACACAGGAACATTCATTTTGTGTCCCCTTCTTTGGCCCCGTTTTAGCGAAGTGACGCGGCCCAGGTCAAGTACAAGACCATGATCCGCATGGAGCGGTACGGCAACTGCCCGGAGTTGCCGGACCCCCTCAACAAGTTCAACTTCTCGGAAGTGGTCCCGTACGGCAGGACGCAGGTGGGCAGAGGGACCTTCATCATCACGGAGACGTACAAGAAGTTAACGAGGGTAAGACACCAGGCCGAGCGCGCCACATCCAGTTCCTCATCTAAAAAAAATATGAAAAAATGTGGCGAGCATTTTTGACGCACTTGCTCCCCGACCTCGTTTCAGACGGTGGCTCGGATCCACAAGTGTACCGACAGGAACGACCCCAACTGCGAGCTGTTCCAAAACTGGCGCTTCGGCGAGGAGACCTGCAACCTTCTGCTCATGAAGAACGCCATCTGGACCCCGCTCTTCGACTTCCACCCGTCGCTCTCGTGCCCGATAAAACCGGTGGGTTCATGGTTCGATTCCCGCTGCCGCCAATTTTATTTCTTTTTTTTTGTGACTTGGTTTGTTTCCAGGGAGTGTACCAAATGGAGAACGTGACGGTGGACATCGACAGGCTGAAGATGATCCAGTTCCCCGATAAGGGCTACTTCAAAGTGAGCATCATGCTGGACGGGGACAAAATTCCCAAGGTCACGTGCTTCTACTTCGAGCTGACTTTCATCAAAGTTCGAGCGTGAAACGCCAGGGGCGCCAGGGGAAGGAGGAGGGTGTCTGGAAGCGTCTGCTCCTCGCAAAACACGGTTTAAATTTAAATAAACTTTTCCAGTATCGTTCTGTCTCTCTCGCACCTTTATGGAGAGCCTTATCGGTGCGACAGAGGCAGAGCGACGAACCGACTCTTCTGAATGGCTCGGCTGGCTCGGGAATACCCCCTGCACCGCCCCTCGTGCCCACCGGGTGGCCACACCCCACGCCAGGGGCGACACTAGGGGTCAACCCGCGGGCATACCCCTTGCTGCGCCTTGCTGCGGAGACACCCCCACGGCCCCGTCCCGAAGCCACCGAGGACCGGACTAGTGGGACGTAGTGGAAGCTCCCGGAGAGCGCCCTCATTTGCATTTACGTGAGCAACAAAACAAACTAACACGATGAGGGCGGCGCACAGTGGGCCAGAAGACCGGCGGGGGCGGCCAAAACTCTAGACGCGTTTTGAGCTCCAGAGTCGCTGAACAGGACTCGAACCGAACGTGTGACCCCGCCAATGGGTTCCTCGTTCGCAGAGCAATCCATTGGTACAACTTAGTTGCATCCAAGTCGGACTTCGTTTTTGTCGGGCCGACGCGTTTTCTTTTAGAGACGATGTAATCGGGGCGTTGGCGGGCGGGGCGGGGCGGGGCGCCACGGCGCCGAGGGCTGCGTCCCCGGGCGGCCTAATTTTTTCCCTGCGACGATGTAATTTGGAAATGCTAATCAGTTTGAGAGCTAGCTTGACAAGGGCTGGCCGGGCTGGCCGGCCTGTCAGCGGCTCGTGACGTCCCCGACGACGAGGGCCTCGATGACGTCGACGGCGTCCTCCATGACGGCTTCCTGTGCATCGGCTGGCGGTCGGCAGAGGGAAAAGCCGCGCTGTAAACTGGCCCCGCTGCGCAGATCCTTGACGAAGTGTCGTTGCCCAGAAGGCCGGGTCGTCAGTCCTGCCTCTGACAACGCCCGCCTCTCTCCGAGCGATCCTAAGTCCGATAGCACACGAGCAACAAAAGGCAGCGCCCGCCGTTAATTTATTTTCTTTGCTGCACTGCGAAACCGTGACGCAACTGCGCACGAGGCAACAACGTGGCAGCCCCCGCCGTCGCTTTATTCAATATTTCTTTTCGGCTGCACTTTTTCCTCCTTTTCTATTCTATTTTTTGTCGTGCTCTGCATTGGGGGTGGCAGGCTGTGCCGCTCCCTGCTCCCGTCCCCGGAGACCCGGAGACGCACAGTGGGCCAGAAGACCGGCGCAGGCGGTCAAAATCCCGGACGCGTTTTGAGCTCCAGGGTCGCTAAATGGGACTCGAGCCGAACGTGTGGCCCCACCAATGGATTGCTCTCCGAACGAGGAGTCCATTGGTGGGGTAACACGTTCGGTTCGAGTCCTGCTTAGCGACTCTGGAGCTGAAAACGCGTCTAGAGTTTTGGCCGCCTGCGCCGGTCTTCTGGCCCACTGTTGGCCGGCAAGCCGGGCAAGACTGGCCGTGGCGCCGTGGCAGCACCCTTCCGTCAACGACTGCATGCCGGAGTGGCCGGAGTACATGTGCCCGTCTGCCGGCAGCCCACGCCACGGCCCACGCCCTGCCCGCACCCCGCGACGCGCCCTCGGACAGCGCCGAGCGCGCCGAGAAACCCAATTTGGGACAATTGCTGCAAGCATTGCAGGCCGAGTGGGCGGGGCCGGCGGGGTCGGCGGGGCGCGCGGAGCGGTCGGAGGAAGCCGACGAGGAGGACAAGCAGAACAGCGTCACCCACACGGTGTACATCCCCAGCAGTGCTGCCACGCGCTGCCAACTCAGTCTGCCTACCGGGCAACTTCTCGAGAGCAAAGCCAGGATATTGCCTGGGAAGCAGGCTGAGGTTGGCAACCCTAACGGCGCATCGTGTGGCAACCGGCGGCAACACTGCTCCAGTCTGCCATTAATTTGGCTGCGCATCGGGAGCGCCTGGGAATTGGTTCTCTCTTCCCGGAGGCCTCCCCGGAGCAAGTCGCGGAGGCGGGCCGCTCCGGGCCGCTCCGGGGAGGACGGCGTCGCGGTGAAAAATGGAGGCGGGGCTAATGGGCCCGGGCCGGGCCGGGCTGGGCCGCGCCGTCGCTCACAAGCCGGCACTACAGCGCCTCGTCCAGGAGCAGGGCGGCGGTGTTGACGCCGGGGACCCACTTGGAGTGGACTGCGTCGCTGCGAACCGACCGCCGCCAGGCCTAAGCCAACAGCGGCCCTTCCTTGTCACGCAGTTTGGGATCTTTGAGATGCGCCGCGGCGCCGCGCGGAAAGGGAAGACACACCGTGAAGAATTAGCGCCGCCCGTTCAGTTGCCGCGCACGTCGGCCGCGTCAGCCGCGTCAGCACCGCCAAAGTGGACGTATGAAAAATACAGCGCCGCCAGGGAATGCCAATGCTGGCTGGAGTCGCCGACACAACCAGCCAAAAAGTTTCCCACTGTGCGCTGCTGCAGTGTCGAGAGGGTGGCCAACCGGTGTTCGGGTACTCGCGTGGCGGCGTGGCGACGCTGATGCGGGCCTGCCCTTTTATTTCTCATACTGCGCGACCTTGTCCCGCAGCGCGGTGGCGGCGGTGGCGCTCTCTGGCGGCGCGATGGCCAGCCTCATTCGTTTTACCAGTGCCCCTTTCAGCTGCACACAATTGTGGCGTGCATAAATTGTGGAAGAATGAACCCTCCCCCACCCCGCTGCGCGCCGCATCGAGTGTGCCGACGGTCGCACCGCGCGAGGTTCGCGAGGTTTGAGGTCCGAGGCGTGCGGTCGAGCAGTGGGCCAGAAGACCCGTGGAGGCGGCCAAAACTCTACACGCGTTTTGAGCTCCAGAGTCGCTGAATGGGATTCGGACCGAACGTGTGACCACACCAATGGATTGCTCTCCGAGTGAGGAATCCATTGGTGGGGTCACACGCACGGTTCGAGTCCCATTTAGCGACTCTGGAGCTCAAAACGCGTCCGGGAATTGGACCGCCTCCACCGGCCTTCTGGCCCACTGTGGGGTGGCCGCTGCTCTTATCTGGGCGTCCGCTGCACTGCCCCCGGGCCTGCACTGCGACGTGAGCAACAAGCCCCTCCATAAACGGCCCGGACTTCGCCTCCATCCCCACCCATCTTTAATGAGCGCCGCGCGCTGCTGCCGCGCGATGCCCCGTCTCTCTCGCACCTACAGTGCACCCCCACGGGCCGCGGCGGAGACAGAGCGACCACCCTTCGGCCTCGATATAATTATCCCCAACGAGTGCGTCCGACAGGCCGACGGCGCCGACGCCAGGGAAGCTGCGGCCGGTAAATCAGTTGAGGGTTTTTTTTAGCCCTGCCCGCCGCTGTTGGCTAAACTGTCTCTACAGTGTGTTCGCGCCGCCCGTCTTGGAGTCCTAAACAAACCGCGCTGGCCACGGCGCGACGACGCGACACTCCAGCCGAGCCCCAGGGCCGACTCTCCGTCTCTCTCGCTCTCCCCGGGCGTCCCGCGGGGGCGCGAGGGAGTGCGAGAGAGACGGGACGACTGTTCGGAATCAGCCTGCAGCAGCGCGGGGACTCACAGTGGGCCAGAAGACCGGCGGAGGCGGCCAAAACACTAGACGCGTTTAGAGCCGCAGAGTCGCTAAGTGGGACTCGAACCGAACGTGTGACCCCACCAATGGATTGCTCGTTCGGAGAGCAATCCGTTGGTGGGGTCCACACGTTCGGTTCGAGTCCCATTTAGCGACTCTGGAGCTCAAAACGCGTCCGGGATTTTGACCGCCTCCACCGGTCGTCTGGCCCACTGTGGGACTGCGGGCGACTACAGCGCGGCCTTCCCCGGAAACGCCGGCGGAAGGGGACGCCGTGGAGGCCGTGGAGGCGGTATTAGCGTCCCAGTGGCGGGGCGGGGCGGGGCGGGGTAGGGTTGCCACTTCCTCGGGGAGGAAATTGCACGCCAAAGAGCGAGCCAAAGGGGAGAAAAAGCCGAGGCCATGAGACATACGCGCACCAGCCTGGGCAGCACAGCGTGGACACCAGCACTCGAGCAAACTCGCAGCGCTCGCAGCTTGTTCAACGGAAGTACGCGTAATTTTATGTTTCATTTTTTCTTGCATTTTCGTTTTTTTAAAGTTTCTGACTTTTTACACATGTGGAGCCGCTGGCTGCGTTGAAGACTTCTGCGTGGGGAAGTGGTGCTTCCCCGCCCCGCCCTCGGGCCCGCCAGATGGCCCGGCCTTTTGTCGCTCGGCTCGCTGCAAGCTCGCTGCCGACCGCGGAGTGCGGTCGCGCGGTCGGAGCGAGTTGGCTCTCGAATCATGATTCCATCAAGGCAACTTGGAGCGCAAACTGCGAGTTTGCGTCTTTGTGTCCGTGAACGGGCGTCGTTGCCGCCGTGGCCGATGGGGCCGGATCTGCAACTCAAATGCACCGACTCGCTGTGGGCGAGGCGGCCAAAATGCCGGACGCGTTTTGAGCTCCAGAGTCGCTCAACAGGACTCGAACCGAACGTGTGACCCCACCAATGGATTGCTCTCCGAACGAGGAATCCATTGGTGGGGTCACACGTTCGGTTCGAGTCCCATTAAGCGACTCTGGAGCTCAAAACGCGTCTGGAGTTTTGGCCGCCTCCGCCGGTCTTCTGGCCCACTGTGAACCGCCGCAGCGTGCTACGCCGAGCCAGGCGGGGCGGGGCGGGGTCACCCGCGGTGGAGGGGGAGGGTACTGGTGGTCTCGCGGAACGTGAACGTGAACCCGATGTGGCCATGGCGGGCCACGGCGGTCCATGGGGCCCTACTGGGGGTGATCCCCACGGCGCGGTGCGGCCCCGGCGCCCTTGCGTCCTGGCCAGTGTAGGCAGCGTAGGCAGCCCTCGGCACGTGCGGCGAGCCCGGCGGCCCGGAGGCCCGGCGGCTTGAAGGACGACCTGCAATTCAATCTGGAACCTGGAAGCGAGCCTGGAAGTCTGGAAATGGTGACAAAGGTGCCGGATTCAAAGTGGGCCGGTGGCTCCTCGACTCGGGCTTACCACCGGTCACGGATGTCCGCCCCGCCCCTCCTGGAGGCCCTCGAGTCCCTGGCCCTATTGGCTCCGACCCTAATCCTCCTCTCGGCCCTTTTCGCCCCGTTGTTGCATCTGCTGATTCGCCGCCATTAGCTCACACGGCTCGACGTGTTGTGCAATAGCGTGGTGGGGGCGTGGCGGGGCGGGGCGGGGCGGGCGGGGCGGGGCGGGGCGGGGCGGGCGGGGCGCGGTGGGGCGGCGCGTGGGCGGGCTGGGCGGGGTGGGCCGGGCTGGGTAGCGGTGCCGCGGTGCCGCACGGGCGGACTCAGTGTGAGCCATGGCGGGGGACGGAGCGCTGGCGCCAAGGGTGGCCCCACTGGCCCTGGGGCTGGTGCTGGCCCTCGGCGTCCTCGCCTGCCTCAGCGAGCGCCAGGCGGTGCACGCCGCCGCCGCACCGCCCGCCAACTACATGGAGGATGCCGGTGAGTCCCGCGGCCACACGCAAACTGTGTCGCGCCTGGCCGACCGATTTCGCAAACTACTTCGAGCTGACGCGTCAGCTTACAAAGAAAATACTTCCTTGCGTGCACCAACAGATTCTTCGTAGTTTTGTACCTCACATATGCTTCCACTTTTTTTGTGGCAGTGCCAGTGCTCTCGCTTCTCGATGAATATTGGACACCATCTCCGATGGTCCTTGCCACGTCGGGCGAACAGTGTGCTGTACACGTAGAAACATAAAGAACGACCCGGCGGGCTACTACGCCGGCGAAATTACGGCGGAACTTATTTTCAATGCAAGCCCCGGCCGCGGCGCCGCGGCTCGGGTCCCGGGTTCGAAAGCCAGACGGGCCGCTTCTTTTCCGTCCGCCCCAACTTTCCCTGCAAACCGCAACGAATTGCACTGCCCGCGCCCCGGCGGCCCCGTCAGCCCCTTTGCAGTGTGCCAGCGTCCGGCTTTTGTGCGACGCCCGGGCGAACAATCTCTCCGCCGGTCGGGGCGAGTCGTTGAAAGCGGAAAGTTGAGGAGTTTGCCTTGAGGTCCGCGAGGTGCAAAAGAAGGCCCCAAAGATTATGGGGGCGTCTCGAGCTGGCCGGGGCAATTCCGGACCCGCCGCACAGTGGGCCAGAAGACCGGTGGAGGCGGCAAAAATTCTAGACGCGTATTGAGCTTCAGAGTCACTAAATGGGACCCGAATCGAACGTGTGACCCCACCAATGGATTGCTCTCCGAACGAGGAATCCATTGGTGGGGTCACACGCTCGGTTCGAGTCCCGTATAGCGACTCTGGAGCTCAAAACGCGTCCAGAGTTTTGTCCGCCTCCACCGGTCCACCGGCCCACTGTGCGGCCCGGCAAAGCGCCTTACGAGCAGGCGATAGGCCATCCGCACGCGCCCACGTCTCCGCGCTGCCTACCCGCCAGGCGCTATGAGCCAGGCGTCTTTATTGTCTTTCCTTTCCTCTCGTTTCCCTTCCTTTCCTTTTTCGCGTCATCCGCACTCGGCGTCGCAATATTTGCGAGGCGTGTTTCACATGAATCTGAAGCGGTTCGCACCTCCTGTTGCTAGTGGCCCCCCCTCTCTCCCTCCCTCTTTCTCTCTCTCCAGTCTCGACAGGTGGCTAGCTCCCTCACCGCGGGGCGGCACCAAATTTGAATAGCGTAAACCCTTTTTCCTTTTTGACCTCCTTCGTCCCGCCCCCTCCACTCCCCTTACTTTCATTTCCTCTCATCTCCTTGCACTTTCCTTCCGACCAGAATTAGCAAAAAAAAAAAAAAAAAAAGAAAGAAAACGAAAGCGAGAAAGGAGCGGGCGAGAAAGAGTTCGGCCTTGACGCGGCGCTTCCTCCTCCCTGGAACCCTGGAACCCTGGAACCCTGGAACCCTGGAACCCTGGAACCCTGGAACCCTGGAACCCCGCAACCCTGGAACCCTGGAGTCGTTTGGGTTCGCGGAGGACGCAGCCAGACCCCTTTCACGATACGAGCCGCACATTCGCAGCGCACCGCGCCATCTCGCGGCGCTATCGAAAGCGACTGTACTCACATCACGCGGATGCACACTGCACACCCACTCGGCGAAGAAGTGTGGATTCTTGTCCTTGATGTAACCTTTGGCAATGGCCCTTGGACCGGGCGCGTTTTCAACATGACGACGGTATTCTCTTGATCTCGGCAACACTTTAGGAAAAGAAAGAACAGAGAGAGCAAAGGGAATGTCCGGTCAGTACGCGTTCTTCGCCAACAACGCAAGAATCCGTACCTTTTCCAATTTCGGAGTTCGCTGAAGGGACCTCCTGGAACCGCTCGCGTCATCATTTCGCTCTCTGGAATCAAGAATCCGGACCCTTTTGTCGGCAGTGTGGGTTCGCGCGCAATTCGCAGTGTATGTTTATTACATGGCCCGGTCGTGGCAGCAAAATAATGATTTCCATGAATATTCGCCATCCATTCCATGAATATCTTGCAATACCGCGTTAACAAAACAGCGCTGGAACGGGGGGCTTTGTGGACGTGTGTGTGTGTGTGTGCGCGCGTGCGGTTTGGAGTGTGCGTTTGTGGCTTGTGTGTTTGCGGTGTGTGTATGTGATGGGGCCAAGGAGAGTGGGGTGGAGGTTTAACGTAAATCACAACGTGTGATTCCCTTTAGATTGGATATGCCACCGGCACTCGGGCACGGCTCGGGGCGCTGCGGCGTTGGCGGTGAAACCTCGAACCGGGAAACCGCAGGGAGGAGTTCGCCTCTGCGGCCCGAGTAGCTCCGACTGACTACACTGCGCCTACACTCGCGGAGCCGTGCGGAGCCGTGCGGAGCCCGACCGTTTGCCTCCGCGTGCCGAATCGAGTTCCGGGAAAATTAGCATCAAACGGGCGATTCCGCGATAAACACACACACACACACACACACACACACACACAAACCACAACAACGTTAAGAAAACAAAACACGATTAAATGTTTTCGAGTGTTTGTTCGACTCGGAGCAACTATTTCGGGAATCTCCTGCCGAGACAACAACACGAGGGAAAAAAAGGTCACCGGAAAAATGTGGCAATAAGGCGCGGAGAAATGTGTGACACGGAGTCTGTGTGGGTGGGGGCGGGGCGGACTTGGCATTCCGGTGGCGTGCACACTGGGGCCCTGGGCGCGGCGGCCTGGCCTGGCCGAGCCTGGCCGGAGGCCGCCAAAGCCACGCCGAGTCTTCGGAAAGCCGCCGAAGTCCGGTCGACACGCCGTAAGCCCGATACAGGCTGGCGGGTCCAGCGGCCAGGCCCCGGGTGTCGAGGGTGCTAAGTCACCCCACCGGCGATGACGAAACGAGTGGCCAGTTAGTTAATGGCCGTGCCAGGCGGCGGAGTATAATCCAGCTCGCTCCCGGAGGAGGAGTTGTCGATGCGTCGCGCAGGCTGTGCCTCACTCATTCACTCACCAGCCCGCCCCACCAGCCAGCCCCTATTATTGTTAGGATACAGCCTTGGTTTCTGGACTCTCGAGTAAAAGCTAGCTGACACCTTTAAGTGTCTTGTAGTGTTCTAGGTACGTTAAACTAGTTAGTAAAGGTATCATCTGCTAAAAACAAGATTAAAATGTTTTGCAAGTGTTTGTTCGACTCAGAGCAACTATTTCGGGAATCTCCTGCCCGAGACAACAACACGAGGGAAAAAAAGGTCACCGGAAAAATGTGGCAATAAGGCGCGGAGAAATGTGTGACACGGAGTCTGTGTGGGTTGGGGGCGGGGGGCGGACTTGGCATTCCGGTGGCGTGCACACTGTGGGCCGCGGCGGTGTGGTCTGCGGCGGCCTGGCCTGGCCTGGCCGAGCCTGGCCGGAGGCCGCCAAAGCCACGCCGAGTCTTCGGAAAGCCGCCGAAGTCCGGTCGACACGCCGTAAGCCCGAGTACAGGCTGGCTGGTCCAGCCTGGCCCAGGCCCCCCGGGTGTCGAGGGTGCTAAGACTCACCCCACCCCGCGCGATGACGAAACGAGTGGCCAGTTAGTTAATGGGCGTGCCAGGCGGCGGAGTATAATCCAGCTCGCTGCCAAACGGAGTCCGCTCCAGCCGCTGGCTCCAGCCCGCACTGGCTCCAGGCGCGTTGTTTTTGCCTCACATGCCCGCTTTGGCTCGCTTTGGCTCGCTTTGGACGCGCGCCTTGCTCGCCCCGCCTGCCCCGGGCATCGGATAAATGCGGGGGCGGATGCTTTATGCAGAGATAAAGGGGTTGTATCGGCAGTCTGTCTCTCTCGCACTCACGGTGGAATGACGTCAGCATCGCGTCAGCAGGCACTCCCTTGCACCTGTCGGCGGCCGGCCCGGCCGTGTGAAGCACACTGGTGGCGAAAAAGCTGCTGCCAACCAAAACACAACATCGCAACGAGCGAAAGAAATAGGCTCGTCGTAGGCAACATCTCAATCTCCACCCAAGCCAGCGAACTTGGAGAGCGCAAAGTTTTCTCTTGGTCGCTTTCCGCGGCGCCGGGTTCAAGTACCAGCGTCGCTTTTTCGCGTCGCTAGTCTCAGTCTTTCCTCGTCTGTAATTAGCTGGTGCAGGCGGAGCGAAATTAAGACGCGAGCCGCGTCTCGCGGGGCTGGCGCCGCCTAGCGTAGCGCCGCGGTGGGTGGCTCGGGTGGCGGTCGGGCTCTGGGTGGCCTCGGATAGGGCGTGGCCCGGCCATATGGCGCCAGTTGAACTGCATCAAACCCCGGTGAAACGATTCCGAGACTGGTCCGAGACGCTGTTCGGGGTCTCGGGCGGCACGGCGGCACGGCGGCGAGCAGGTGGGTCACGCCCCCCTCCCCCCATACGAGTGCGACAGAGACGAGAGCGCTGTGTGGGGCTGTCCCTGCCGCCTGATTCCAAACAGTGCTCCCTCTCTGTCTCTCTCGCTCCAGCAGCGGGACGCCCCGTGAGTGCGAGAGAGACAGAGGGCTCAGCCCGGCTCGTCTTACAGTCGGCGCGGGCTAAGCTGGGCTCGGTGTCCGTACTGGCCGGCGGTGGCCGCGGCTGGCCGACATCGACTATATTATTGATTGGGAAGGCTCGGCCGTTTCGATCGAGAAGGTGACTGCACCGACGCGGACGGGGTTATCCACGGCGACCCTCTCCGCCTCCGCGTCAGAATGTCAGAGCGTCCGGCTAAAGTTAGTCGAGTTTGCAGGGCGGCGAGGCCCGCGGGGCCGCCGTCACGCGCGTGACGAGCACGGCGGCGAGCACGGCGGCGACACGGTGACATCGCCGGCCAAACGGGCCAAACGGCCATCGACCGCCGGAGATGGATGGACAGATTGGCGCGGGCGGACGGACGGCAAACAGACGGACAGGCAGAGGGTGCAGAGCCGACATATGTATGGTAATGTCACACATAACAGCGGCAGAACGCGGCAGAACGCCCCGAAACCGCAGACACGTCGTGTCGTTTAGTTTCGACCAATTTCAGTCCAACATTTTATACCGCTCTGTTGACTGCCCATCAGATCGTATAACCT